GTCTGTCGGGAAAATAATGAACATTCTGTCGCATCGAAAATCGCATCGCCGACGGGAAAATTAATTGTGTCGCGAGAAAATCAAATTGTGTTTTTTTTTCAGCGACGCCATCGGCGCAGCGACATTGCACTCATTATTTTCCATTATTTTCCCGACAAACAAAAAAATTTTTTTTTTCACAAAATCGCTTTAGCAATTTCGGCGACATGCACTGTGAGAAAACGAAAGTTCACTTTGCACTGTGCAATTTCGGTTCTTTTGCACTGTGCAATAAGCTTTTTTTTGGGCTGTCGCGTGCACCCTGACGTTCATTGCACAGTGCAAACGCCAAAAATCACTCCAAAGGCTTTATGAATGGACTAGTAGCATTTTCATAAAGTGCATGGACATGGCGTAGTAAAAAATGTCAATAGCACCGTGCAAAAATGTTTCGAAAAAGACCACATCGCTGCACAAGGAAAGTGAAATGCGCAATGAAAGAATCCATGCACTTTTTGAAAATGCTAACAGTTCGAAATTCAGGCGTCGCGACACTTGCGGGCAACCACTTTGTGGGCAGCCGACATTTTTTGATTAGAATTACGATACCCCTCCCGCAATCTAAGTAGTACAATAGAAATTTTACATTGACAACTGCCTGGCACCGACAAGACCACAAATCTACTAAATTCATCCACTGCTTTCAAAGTTATGGGAGTTTTTTTTTCAAAAAATGGTTAAAAATGCCTGGATAAGCTTATGATAACTATTCAAGCCACTTATACACCTGGAAACTTAATCCGCAACATCTAATCGTGAAGCCCATCGTTTCAATTTAGAGTTGAAAGCAAATTTTGGCTGATTTCATGACATGTCCGCAGAATCTCCGTGGTTTTTCAAGCTGCCCGCAAAGTGGTTGCCCGCAAGTGTGGGCCAAATTCACCGCAGTCTGTCGGAGAAATAGTGGCGGGTCGTCGCAGCAAGATATTTCGCTTCCTCAAGAAATTGTTCCGTCGCGCAACCAATCTACAGTTGCGGCTAGCCGTCGCTAAGTGATGATGGGAGATCCCAAAGCGCGAAAACCGTCACTATTTTCCCGACAGACTGAAGCTATAAACAGAAGTTCAACATCATTTTATTTTTACATTTCCGCTAACTTTAAATTTATCTTTGGCTAAAGATTTCTGCCTCCAAATTCGTAATTCGCTTCACAAGTCTTTATTTGTATGCTCGTAGAAAACAGGTTTCGTATTTCATTTTTGTAGCCTTTGCCTATAATTGGAACACCTTCTGACGCAAGTCGAGGGTGGTTTATGCAGGCGCTGCTTCCCTGGGATTAAACGCCTAATCCTTTTTTGTGGTGTACGAAAATGTTTTTGCACGTCATTATGAATGTCAAGTGAGCAAAGCTGATTATTTTAAGTTGTTGTTGGCCAAAAAATTAATATAAATATTTTTCGGAATTGCCAATTTTTACATTCCGCGGAGCTGTGGTTTCACAATTACATCAGCTTTTGTTGGCGGACAAATTGCGTTTTCAGGTTTATTGCAAATGTATTTATGAGTAATTTGATTGTTTTTTACTTCTCAGTTTTATGCCAGAAGTATCAGTTCGTCGGGAAAATAGTGGCGGGTCATCGCCAGAGATTGCCACGGCTCCGGAGCCGGCTCTTAGCGGCTCCGGCTCCGAGCGGCTCCGGCTCCGAGCCGGGAGCCAGAGCCGGAGCCGGAAATTTTGGGGCCGGCTCCGTCTCCCGAGCCCAAAGTCGGAGCCAGGCTTCCCAGCGGTCAGAAGAGTAAAAATTTCGTGATCTTTTTAAACCAAATTGCTTGAAAAACACTGCAGAGGATGTGGCTTGACTGCAAAAACGTTGGCTGTATGATCTCTGGCACTAATAACTTTTATTTTTGGAAAAATATTTTCGAAAAAACATTTTGCACAGGAGCCGGGATTCGGAGCCGGAGGCCTTTTTAAATTTTGCACGGAGCCAAGAGCCGGAGGTGCAAATTTGGCCTCGGCTCCGGCTCTGGGAGCTAAGAGCCGGAGCCGCAGCCAAAATTTCGACCGTGGCAATCTCTGGTCATCGCAGAAAAATGTTTCGTCTTGTCAAAAAAAGGTCGCGCACCGAATCCCCAGCTCGTCGAAAAGCGATGATAGGCGATTCCAAGGCGACCACCCACCACTATCACAATTTTACCGACACACTGATGCCCTAAGTACGGCGCTGATTGTGAGATTTTGATGAAATGGCATAGATTTAGAATAACTGTTTCTAACAGGAGAAGTAGACCAAGGGCGACGCTCAGATTTTGATGAAACTTGGCACAGATTTTGAATAATTTTTGATAAAATATATGCGAGATTCTTGGCTTGTAATTTTTAGAAACGACCGAGATTTTCAGATCGAAAGTTGGCAAAAATGTGATGATTTTTTTGCGGATTTTTGTATCATCAGAAGTCTCCACTGTATAGGGCAATGTTTCCACAAAAAATCAATACTTTCCGCGTGAAACTGACAAAGATATGGCCAAAAAGTCCTTTTCTCTTTCTGACCGCTCTCCGCCTTTCGTGTGCTCTCTCGGTCACAAAGATTGCTGAATATCTCGACTGCCCCTATAAAGGGCGAGCTAAAATTTTCAGGATTTGATATGTAATCTATGTACGTGATATGTGCAAAATTTAAAGAAAATCTGAACGTCGCACTTGAAGAACTTCCCTAGGGCTCTGTAAATACGTTTTTTTAAAATTGAATATTCTAAACTAATATTTTATAAACAGGTTGTTTCACTCCGTATATTTTAATTTTCAGCCCATAAAAAACGTGGTTTGTGACTTTACTTTTTACACATTACTATGAAAAATTTATTTTTCCTTCTTTCCGTGAAGCTACCAAATTTTTACATCTTTAATCCTCTATTTATAATATTCGTTCCACTGCAGCGCCCGATAAGTTCGTGGAACTCCGAGAATTAACGAGTTTGCAGCGACTTTTGCACTTTATTGGCCACTAATCACGCTATTATATTAGTGCCGCACGGAACGACAAAAGCAGTGGTCATTGATTATAATGCAGGAAATTGACGTGCTCTTAACTTCCTCAGATTTTTTACTTGCACTCGGATTTGTGGCATACCGCGCTGTGAAATTTTACTATGGGTTTTTCAAAAGTGCGTAGACTTTTTGTCGCGGGCCGCACCGTGCAAAATACCCGATTTTTTGCACTGTGCACTTTACGTTTTGCATTCTGCAACCGGAATATCGCCGCAACGCAAGCTTTTTTCAATTGCGTTGTCGCGCCGTTGAAAAAAAATTTTGAACGCGACAGACAATTGCACAGTGAAAAATGGTTCAAAATGGCCCACGCACCGTGCAAAAAAGAGGCAAAATGCCTAGACCTTTTGTGCACGCGACAAAAAGCCTGGGCACTTTTTAGAAAGCATAGTATTTGGAATCTTGTACCCTCTATATCGGACTACATATTATCTTGAGTCTGGGGGAGTTTTGTTTGATGAAAATTTTACATCCATTTTTGTGCGGAAAAAATTAATTTTTTGAGGAAACTTTACTCTGTGTGGTAGAAATAGCCATGCAACTTGTCAAGATCAAAAGTCGACAAAAGTGTCACAATTTTTGTCAACCTTCGTTCTAAAAATCTCGGTTGTTTCTGAAAATTGCGAGCTAGGAGTCTTCCAAATACATTAGAAAAAGTTATTCTAAATTTGAGCCAAGTTTCAATACAGTACTTTTCTAACTTCACAGTACATATTTCAAACCTCAATGTCATCATTTTTTGCATAAATCATCCTATTATTTTTCAAAACGCCCTCTGGGCGTTTTATTTTCGCCACCGTAATCCGGAAACTTCCTTGTGGATTGACGTCCAATGATAATCCAAGTCCATTATGCTCTTTCCATTATGCTCTTTCCATTATGCTCTTTCAATAAATTAAAAAAATTTTTGTTTTTTGCGAGAAAAGAATGTTGCCTGGAGGCTAATTGCGTCTCGAAATTTAGCAATTCCAATTAGACTTCTGCTTTTGGGGGCTTTTGAAGATAGAATGCTCAAAATGCAAGATACAGTGGCGGACCTAATCCAGTGGCAAAAAACGTACCATTTTGCATCCGGAATGTATCAAAAATGTAGCAAAATACCTCCTTCTCCAAGTGAAAGTTTGCCATTGGATCAGGTTCGCCGCTGTAAATTAATAAGGTCGAAATATTGTGCCCCGTGTTTTTTATTTTTGCATCAATTAGTGACTAGTCATAGAGTCGTCAACTTGTCGTGTCAGTCATGTTTTCATATTGCCGTCATTTTTGTCACGTAAAAAAATTTTTTTTCATTCTGACTGTCATATTGAACTTTTTTATCTTTTTTGTACTTCTCATGGTAAAAAAATAAGTATTTGCAAAACTTTTAGGAACTTACAAGGGAAGTACCCCAAGTGCGACGCTCAGATTTTCTTTAAATTTTGCACACACGTCGGGTATGGACTAGATATCAATTCCTGAAAGTTTTAGCTCGCGGTTTGCCGGCGCCGCCGAGATATCGAACGATTTTTGCCGCCGAGAGAGCACGCTAAAAGTGGAGAGCGGTCAGAGAGAAAAACGTTTTTTGGCCATAACTTTGGCAGTTTCGTGCGGAAAAAATTGATTTTTTGTGGAAACATTATCCATTACGGTAGAAATAGGCATGAAACTTTTCGTGCCGAAATTCGGCAAAAAGTCCTAAATTTTGGCCGACTTTCGATCTAAAAATCTCGGTTGTTTCTGCAAATCGCGAGCTAGCAGTCTTGTATATTTCTTGAAAAGCTTATTCCAAATTTAAGCCAAGTTTCATTAAAATCTGAGCGTCGCACTTTGAGCACCTCCCTGTGAATTCCGTCACTACGTTTGTCTTTATTTCCCGATGATTCGTTTTTCGATTTTCTAAATTATCTTCCGCGATTTAAACCGCTCAAATTCTTCGTAAAATCTCGCGGATTTCAGATAAACCTCTTTTTCCAACACTCAGAAATCAAAAATGTATTCGCTCGGCTCTTCGCTCAGCATCAACGAGCATTACTCAGCAAGATATCGGGCTCCGCTGAGTCGACAGAGTACGGTGGAGGAGACGGTGCCGTTCGACATTTTCCGGTCAAATGCGATTGATAAGGTTGGTGAAAAAAACAAAAAAAAATACAAAAAATAAATAAAAATAAAAAAATAGGTAAGAGTACCTTATTTTGGCCACAACTTATAACTTTGCGGAAACTGTTCGGAATTAGCCCAAATTTAGCGTGCACGCTCAATTCATCGTTGTCAATGCCCGGACAGTGGATTTAGTTAGTGAGGTACTTCTTTTTTACGTACCACCTTACCCTTCAAAAGCGGCTGCAGCCTGTGATTTTACAATTTATACGATGAAACATGTCCGGAACTAAACTTATTGCCTCCGTATGGAACTAAATGAGTCGTCACAGCCTTCGTAGGTACCCTTAAAACTACAGAGCTATTATAGTAATTCAGTGCAAGCTAGGTCGAAGCATTTTTTTCTAACTTTAGTGCCCAAGCTTGGGCGCAGTTCGCGGAGTACCTTTGTTGTGGCCAAAATAAGGAACTTTTTCCAAAAAATAAAAATAAAAAAAAAATGAAAAAATAAAAAGATAAAATAATAATGAAAAGATCTCTGAACTCTTCCTCAAGCCTTCAGCATTACAAATGAGCAGCCAAAAGTTGCAAAGCATAAGTATAAAATTGAATATTTACACATCCAAAAATTCGGATTTTCCCTAAAGTATTGTCTGAGTTTGTTTTTGAATATTAATGTGATCCGTTGTTCATAGAGACGGATTTCCGACTCATAGCGAAAATGAGGCCTGGTCTATGGATACGTCATATTTAAAATAAGATCTCTAGTTCCAAGCCAGTGGCTAGCGTAAAAAAAGTTTCACGGGGTAACATATAGGGCTGTGATTGGCAAAAGTTTTGCGGCAACCCAAATTTTTGTTTATCGGAAAGTTCACAAAAATGTGTCAAAAAAAGCAAAATGAATTGAAATTTTATTTCCTACTGTGAAATGTACCATTTTGCATCCGGGAAGTATCAAAAAAATGTGGCAAAATGCTTCCCTCTCCAACTAAAAAGCCCCTTTTGAAGGCCTCGCCATTTCCCTCACAAAAAGAGCGGGCGGGCTTTTGAAATCGGAGTTTTCTCAGTTGGAAGGAGGTATTTTTTGCTACATTTTTGATACTTCCTGGATTTAAAATGGCACGGTTTTTGCATTGGATCAGGTCCGCCCCTGTATTGGGTAATCCCTAATAGAGATTTGCAACTTTTCTTACCACCTTGTAAATGTACGCCCATTACTTTTTCTATCAGTCCGTCGGGAAAATAATGAGCATTCTGTCGAAAATCGCATCGCCGCCGAGAAAATGAATCGTGTCGCCGCAGGATTAAATTGCTCTTCGCTTCAACGACGCGATCGGCGACGCGGCATTGCGCTCATTATTTTCCCGACAGTCTGATATTTGGTGACTTATACAACTGATGACAATGAGGTCATGCAGTGATGCGGCGATTAGCTGACGGGATGCTTTTTCTTTGTGCTCTAATGTGCTCTCCATGACTCAAGGCGCTCAAAATTTATCCCCTTGACCTTGCCGGCTTACTTCTTCGTTGTTCTTGATTTTTATAATAAATGGTTAGCTGCCAGTTACTAGTCCAGTAAAGTCGCTGGGATGATGTTCGCGACATTTGTGCGAAAACAAAAGTTTTCTTTGCACTTTTTAAAACACGATTTTTGAGTCACTGCGTCAGCCAGAAGTGGGGAAAAAATCGATTTTGAGATTTTTGTCTTAAAATAGTCGGTAGCACTTGTGGAAGAAAAGCTAAAAATATTTTTGCCCAATTAGGCCCGGAAGGCATATTTTTTTACAAAATACGTTTTTATACTTCAAGGCCTCTGGAGGCCGATGTGATCCGAACACAAAGATGAAACCTGGCATACAGGGGTTTTTGACACCCAGGAATCTGAAAATCGTAGCCTTTTACCGTCAGATTACTGTAACATGGTCACACTGTAATCCGGTCGATAAAAATCGACCATAACTTCTTTAGACCGCTGGTGCCCCGACTCAGAAATCGTGTTTTAAAGTATTGTTTTTTGCGCCATGCAGCAGGTTTTTTGGGTTGCCGCCCGCACCTCGACTTTTGCACAGACAAAGCCAAAAATCGCTCCAGCTACTTTTCGCATGGCCTGCTTGTAAAACAAAATTCTATTTACTATACATAATATAATATGGTATACACTAGCTAACCCTTCGATAAAAGCGTGTTAAAAGTTCTTTTGGAAGACTACCGGCGCAGTCTCACGTCTGTGATGTCATGCACGACATGCACATGTTCGTCCTGACCCCGGCGCCAATTATTTCGTGTAGTACGACGCTTTCCCGGTTGTCGTGCGACATTTTCAATTTTCGTTTGGTATGCCCTAAATTTTGGTTGCATTTAGATGAAAGTTGGGCGAATGGAGAAAGTCATTAGAGAGCGACAGGTAAGTGGTTTGAGAAGCGTGTAATGAATGAATTCCTGGCTTCTTAGAAGCACTGTTTTTCGTAGCTTTTGTGCTTATAAGAGAAAGAACTGTCTGTCGGGAAAATAATGAGCGTAATGTTGAAGTGAAAAGCAATTTGGTTTTTTTTTCCAAAAATTAATTTTCTCGGCGGCGATGCGATTTTCAACGCGAAATAAGGCTCATTATTTTCCCGACAGACTGGTTCTTCAATTACAAAGAAGCGTGGCAAATTTTGGACGTTATTTTTTCGAACAAGAGACTTATTTGAGCCTGCTAGCTCAGGATTAGCAGGGCAACCACAAATCGATCCCTTTCCTTGTTAGATTAAGAAATAATTCCAGTTTTCGGTAAGCCGGCTGCCAGTCCGTCTGGAAAATAATGTGGATTCGTCGCGCCTTCGGCCGCGGTTGAAGATTGGATGCGCGACTGAGACATTTTGCTGCCGTTGATCCACATTATTTTCCCGCCAGACTAATATACAGGGTCTTACAAAAAACGCGAAGGAAAGTCGGAGGCTATAACTTCCGGCGGAGACGGCGCAGAGGCTTCGTTTTTGGAATATGTATTTTTAAGCAACCTTTATTTTTGTCCATAAAATAACAAAATTTTAAAGCGCAAACTGAGGTCGGTACGACCATCTGAACTAGCCCGTTTGAAAGGCCGCTAGAGCGATTTTCTCGCGACATGCACTGTACTTTCCAAACAAACAAATAGGAAACAACCAAAAATTTTAAAAAACTTAGCTATAATATTGCTTACAAGGGAAGTACTCCAAGTGCGACGTTCAGATTTTCTTTAAATTTTGCACACACGTCGGGTGTGGACTGAATACCAATTACTGAAAGTTTTAGCTCGCGATTTGAAAACGCCGCCGAAATATCGAACGATTTTTCTCCGCCGAGAGAGCACGATAAACGTGGAGAGCGGTCAGAGAGAAAAACGCTTTTTGGCCATAACTTTGGCAGTTTCGAGCGGAAAAAATTGATTTTTTGTAGAAACATTATCCTTTGCGGCAGAAATAGGCATGAAACTTTTCGTGCCGAAATTCGGCAAAAAGTCCTAAATTTTGGCCGACATTCAATCTAAAAATCTCGGTTGTTTCTGCAAAGCGCGAGCTAGGATTCTCGCATATATCTTAGAAAAAGTTGTTCTAAATTTGTGCCAAGTTTCATCAAAATCTGAGCGTCGCACTTGGAGTACTTCCCCTGTTAGTAAAGGTTCATGCGGCCTCTAATTTTTCCCGAATTGAAGGCGAGTGCTCACCTTCAATTCCAAGGTAATTGCGTACGAAAATATAGTCGAATGATGTCTGACACGCATTAATTACCTGTAATTCCCATTATTCTTCGTCCTCACTCTATTTGTAATCAGGTAATAACAGAATGTTATTACCTGATTACAAATGTACGTCATGCTATGGATATTATCATGGATTAGAAGCGACTAAAGTGTTTTTGATGTACTTGATAGAATATAAAGTGGCGTAAAGTTTATGTGGAAGATACTATGACATTGCTTTGGACAGGTTTTTCTGCCGTGCTAGATTTTTTGAGGCTGTTATCAGTCTGTCGGGAAAATAATGAACGCAATGTCGCTGCGCCAATCGCGTCGCTGAAGTGGAGAAAAAATTGATTTTTCCGCGAAAATAATGATTTTCTTGGCGGCGATGCGACTTTCGATGCGACAGAGTGCTTATTATTTTCCCGACAAACAGATACTACTATCTACAATCAAAAATTAAATTTCAAGGTCTAAAACGAAATTTTTTGCGCTCTAACGGTAGTTTACATGAGCAGTTTTCATATACCTTATGACAAACGCTATTTATAGCAACAATAATAATAATCTTTACCTGTCTAATGACAGGTGTGGAACTGGCTTTTAAAACGTTTTCTAGACTACTTGCGACTGTTTTGTTTTTTTATGATGCCAGACGCTAAGCTCCAATTTATTCGTTTCCGGCTTTGAAGTTTATCTCCCACCCTTGATGTCCACGGATTTTTGGGCTTTCGAGCGGGGGGTTTTTCAACGTGATGTCTTTGTAAGGAGATTTTTTGGGTGGAACTTGGGATGAATTGAAGACATTGTTTTCTAGCAATAAGACGGGTTCCGAAGTTTTGAGCAGCACGGAAGTCACTGAGATTTATTTTGGACTAAATTCATATATCAATTTGTCGGGAAAATAATGAGCAATATGATGGATCGAAAATTGTATCGCCGAGAAAATGAATTGTGTCGCGGCGAAATCAAATTTCTTTTCATTTCAGCAACACGCTTAGCGAAGCGACATTGCGCTCACTACAGGGTGTTTCAAGAAACGTGAAGGAAAGTCGGAGGCCATAATTTTCGGCGGACTCCACGTAGAGACGTGGTTTTTGCAATATGCGGTTTTAAGCGACATTAATGTTTGTCTATTTAAAATGCAAACTGAGGGCGCTACGAACTTTTGAAGAAGGGTCCTTTTACTTATGGCCTCCGACTTTCCTTCACGTTTCTTGAAAGACCCTTTATTTTCATTACAGACTGATACTGCTCGGGGCAAAGTGTCCTGAGAATTTACCGCGGCCATAAATTCCGGCACATATTGGAAAAAAATATTTTTTTTGCCTTTTGATTTGTCGCTGCAAAAAATGCAAAAGGCGCGCGACGTACGGCAAAAAAACAAATTCGGAGTACATAGTTTCCGAACAGATTTTCAATTTTTCGCCCTTTTTTGGCTGAAAAAACGCTGAGCCCTTTGGTTGAGTATGCAACACGCAAGTTTGTACTTTTAGGGATATACATCCCTATATACGGCCTAGATGGAGGTTGCATATAAGAAATTAGCCGCAAATCATAGACTTGCACATCGAGCTAGCCGTTTACTAGTCCGTCGTGAAAATAATGAGCACTCTGTCGCTGCGCCGATCACGTCGCTGAAATGAAAATCAATTTGATTTTGTCGCGACACAATTTATTTTCTCGGCGAAGCGATTTTCGATGCGACAGAATGCTCATAATTTTCCCGACAGACTGATATTCGGGGTTTTATGGTTTTTTTACTCTGTTTTATCTCATAGAATAGCTGTGTTGAGACCTAAATGTTCTTACCCCCCACACTTTTAACCTCGACCAATTTTCCCTTCATTCCCAGGTCCGCATGCCCTCCGGGGCATTCCATATTTAGCATTTTTTTGTCACCGGACCGGTCTCTCCGCCAGTAATGAGGCGGATTAGCCGCCCTAAAACCGCGCTCGACTGACAAGTAAAACAAGTCAGTTGGAGTTGGTTTACACTTTTCGAAAAATGTTTGTCACCCGGCTTCGGCTTTGAATGGCAACAAAGTTTTCGGAAATTGCGTTCAAAATGCTGTAACAAAATGTATTTTGAGTAATGGTATCATGCGAAAGCTTTTTATGCACGAAAGGTCTCAAGACAGAGAACGTTTTTTGGGCCATCAAAATTATTAGAATTCCGTTTGGGGAATGTGGGAATTAGGCTTTACTATGACATTTTTTTGTTGTGAACGACGCGGAGTCTGGGTTTTTAACACTCCCGAGAGTTTTGTTTTTTTGGATTTGCTAAATTTACTATTTTACTATCAGTCTGTCGGGAAAATAATGAGTAATCTGACGCATCGAAAATCGTGTCGCCGCCGAGAAAATGAATTGTATCGCGACAAAATCAAATTGCTTTTCACTTCACGATTGGCTCAGCGACATAGTGCTCATTATTTCCCCGACAGGCTAGTAAAGGGCTAGCAGGGAAAAAGAAATTTTATTTTGTCGCGACACAATTCATTTTCTCGGTGGCGATGCGATTTTTGATGCGAGAGAATGCTCATTATTTTCCCGACAGACTGATAGTACTTTTCATAAAGTGCATGGACATTTGTTCTCTTTCGCACAGCGTATTTTGAAGATTTTCCCACACTCATCGCCAACGCACAGTGCATTTTTATCTTTTTTCTTTTCGCACAGTGCAAACCAAAAAATGTGCGTTTGCACTGTGAAAATTCAAAGTCTCGGCGACACATTTCAAAAAAGCTCGCATAACTTTCGAAAAAGTGTAGTAAGGATCAGAGATTGCAACGGTCAAAATTTCGGCTCCGGCTCCGGCTCTTGGCTCCCACAGCCGGAGCCGAGGCCAAATTTGCAGCTCCGGCTCCGGCTCCGGCTCTTGGCTCCGTGCAAAATTTAAAAAGGCCGTCGGCTCCGAATCCCGGCTCCTATGCAAAATGTTTTTTAAGAATATTTTTCCGAAAATAAAAGTTATTAGTGCCAGAGATCATACAGCCAACGTTTTTGCAACCAAGTTGTATGCAACACATCCTTCCCAGTATTTTTCAAGCAATTTGGTTTAACAAAATCACGAAATTTTTACTTTTCTGACCGCTGGGAAGCCTGGCTCCGACTTTGGACTCGGGAGCCGGAGCCAACCCCAAAATTTCCGGCTCCGGCTCTGGCTCCCGGCTCGGAGCCGGAGCCAAGAGCTGGAGCCAAGAGCCGGCTCCGGAGCCGTGGCAATCTCTGGTAAGGATCTTCAAGGTGTTAACGCATCTTCTTTATCGAGTTTTAAAGGCGGGTCGTCACAGCAAAATGTTTCGCCTCGTCGAAAAAGGGTGCCGTTGCGCAACAAATTTCCAGCTGCGGCTTATCGTCGCAATGCGATGATGGGCAATTCCAACGTTATCTTTCCGATAGACTGATATCGAGTTTTCTGGGAAAATGGTGAGAAAGATGTTGCGGGGAGATAGGTGTAGAAACTAATCTAATCCCTTATTATACATACTAGTAATATCTTTCATTTGACCCTGCGGAAATCTCTTTTTTCTGTTTGTAGTTGAAAAAACCAAGGTTTTCCCAGGGTTCTTTTGTGATGCTGAAAACTTTTAAAATTTCTCAAAGTGCGGCTGATACATTTTTATCAGTCTGTCGGGAAAATAATGAGCTCAATGTCACTGCACCAATCGCGTCGCTAAAGTGAAAAAAAAATTTTTTTGTTTTTTCGCGACAAAATTCATTTTTTTCTGAATGCTCTTTACTTTCCCGACAGACCGAGATTCACCATTTTGTGTCATGACTTTGTGTCTTCAAACTTCGCCCACTCACTGAAATACGTTCTTACCTTTTTTTCGGCAATTCCTACAGCCATCCCAGGTGTTCATTACTCGCCCATTCAGGCCCATAATCTCCACTTTATTGAATACGGCGAAATCCCAGCGGAGAGTCGGCTTCAAACTACTTCAAAGAAGTAATATACTTGTACAATATGTTCGTGGACTCGAATGTTTTTGCTGCACTTAACATTCCAATTTTTACAGAGTGAAATACTACTATTGCTACGGTAATTGAGGCTCTATTACGGCGGTGACGCCGGTTGCTAGCGATTTGTTGAGCTTGGAACGGCTTGTAAATGGGTTAAAGGCCTTTTTTAACGCAAAAAAATTCGCTAAATTTGCTTAAAATTTCTCCAAGTCTCTCTGTAAAAATTTTTCAAATTCTTGACTACCTACTATACTACGGAAATCACTAAAACTCTAGCGATGAGTATCTCGGTCAGCTCGATTATGAGCGTCGTTCCGGACCGCCTGCGGCGGCGGATCCGAAGAGAGGAGGAGGAAGAGTTCAAAAGCGAAGAGTTGATTCTAAAAGAGCGAATTCAGATGTTCGACGCCAGATTCCGCAATCTTCGCGAACGGAAAGCAGCGAAACCGACGCTGAAAGGGAAGGTCTACAATTTCCTGGAGCGACCCACCGGTTGGAAGTGCTTCATCTACCATTTTAGGTGAGCTTGTATCTACATTATAATGTCATGAGTGTGTCGGGAAAATAATGAGCACTCTGCCGCTGCACCGATCGCGTCGCTGAAATGAAAAGAAATTTAATTTTTCAGCGACAATATTGATTTTCTCGGCGGCGATGCGATTTTCGAAGCGACAGAGTGCTCATTATTTTCCCGACAGACTGACACTACTCGAAAAGGCCTTAGAATTTTCGGCGTGCCAGAGTAGAAGAAAGGTACTGATAATACAGTGGGGGACCTGATCCAGTGGCAAAAAACGTACCATTCTGCATCCGGGAAGCATCAAAAATGTGGCAAAATGACTCCCTCTCCAAGTGAAAAAACTCCGATTTCAAAAGCTTTTTTTTGTAGGAAAAGGGAGTGCTTTTTAAAACGGGGTTTTTTTAGTTAGAAAGGGAGGCATTCTGCTTCGTTTTTGATACTTCCCGGATGCAAAACGGTACGTTTTTCGCCACTGGATCAGATCCTTCACTGTCGTTCATCGTTTCATAAAGTTGAGCTTCGCTGTAGGAAGGTCCAAAAATTGACTATGTATACCGTCAAATACGTTTGTTATCAACAGGCTTTATTGTACAGAAGTTTATCTCTGCTAGTCTGTTTGAAAAATCACTGGAATGATTTTCCAGTGATTTTTTTGGCGTTTGCAGTGAAAGCCTATTGTACGGCGTAAAAAGCAAAAAAATTGCACAGTGCAAGGTGAACTTTTGTTTTTTGCACAGTGCATGTCGCGGAAATCACCCCAGCGACTTTAGGGACGGTCACTGGAGAGAGGAACTTCTGCTCGACGAAGACTCTTGATAACAAACGAATTCATAGGTGGAAATAGTCAATTTTGGACCTTCGTATAGCGAATAGCCTGTTTACTAGTTTGTCGGGAAAATAATGAGCAGAATTTCGCATCCAAAATTGTATTGCTGAAGTGAAAAAAATGATTTTGCGGCGATTAATTTTCTCGGCGGCGATACGATTTTGGATGCGACAGAGTGCTCATTATTTTCCAGACAGACTGATATCACAAATTCAGAGGTGGCAAGAGTATATTTTTAGACCTCTTATAGTGAAGCCCGTCCATAATGAATACATTATTTGCTCTTCTTTGATCCCTTGTTTGACTGTAATCGGATTACAATTTTTTATTTTTTCAGCGTCTTCACTCTTGTTCTGTTATGCCTTATCCTCAGCGTCCTCTCCACAGTCGAAACTTATACAAAACGAGCTGGAGAGGTCTTATTTTTCATGGTAAGAAAACCCAGCTTATCCTTAAAAGCCAACAAATTTTCCAGGAGATTTTCCTCGTTGTTTTCTTTGGCCTTGAATATTGTGTTCGCCTGTGGTCGGCGGGCTGTCGGTCCAAATATCTCGGCTTCTTCGGACGACTAAAGTTCGCAAAGAAGCCAATTTCGATTATTGGTAAGTGCGAAAAATTGTGAAGACATACATGTATGATATGCATATACGATATGTGTATAATTACAATCTCTTTTCAGACCTCTGCGTTGTCATTGCGAGTATTGTGGTGATTGCCGTTGGAAGCGAGGGAAAGGTTTTCGCGACCAGCGCAATTCGGTGAGTTTTGCGTTGAGTTTTATTGCTCTATGAACGACAGTGAAGGACCTGATTCAGTGGCGAAAAACGTACAGTTTTGCATCCGGGAAGTATCAAAAAGGCAGCAAAATGCCTCCCTTTCTAACTAAAAAAACCCCGTTTTAAAAAGCACTCCCTTTTCCTACAAAAAAAGCTTTTGGAATCGGAGTTTTTTCACTTGGAGAGGGAGTCATTTTGCTACATTTTTGATGCTTCCCGGATGCAGAATGGTACGTTTTCTGCCACTGGATCAGGTCCCCCACTGTATTATCAGTACCTTTCTTTTACTCTGGCGCGCAGAAAAATCTAAACGCTTTTCAAGTGGTATCAGTCTGTCGGGAAAATAATGAGCACCCTGTCGCATCGAAAATCGCATCGCCGCCGAGAAAATGAATTGCGTCGCTGTAAAATCAACTTGATTTTCATTTCAGCGGTAAAATTTTGGATGCGAAATTATGCTCATTATTTTCCCGACAGACTCACACACAAAGTTCCATCGATAAAAACAAGAACGCTGCAGTTTTTCAAACGTGCCTAGACTCGTTTTCTTGCGTGCACAGTGCCCTTTGCCTCTTCTTTTTGCACAAGGTATGAAATAGGGATTTTTTACGGTGCGATCCCGTAAAAAAATTAAAAAAAAAAATCTACGCACTTTTGAAAAAAACACAGTAAATTTTGCACCGGGTCCGCCACAAATCCGGGCCCTTTAGACGACGTCAGTTCCCTGTCTATTCAACGACCTATGTTTTCGTCATTACTACGTGCGGCAATAATATAATAATATTATATAATAGTACTTTAGGCAAATTTTGCTCCAACAATGAACCATGTCTGTCAAAATTTTGTTTGTATTATTATTTCATATTATGCCAAAAAGTTATCGCGCCTCGACTTTTCGGGTTGACACAAAATCGATCGATACGGGGCGTAGGGCAAAGGGATGCCCAAAAAAAGGTTGTAGAAAGTGCCTACGAGGCAAATAGGCGATAAGCTCTCCTAAGACCAATCAATCTTGTTATTTCTATTAACATAGCCTTTTCCCCCTACTAGTCGTTCCAGAAAGTGCGTAGATTTTTTGAACGACTAGTAGCATCTCCCATGATATAAACGATTTTTTTCACATTTTTGGCAAGAAAAAGCTGTCATTCTTTCGCTGGTGAATTGATTTTAGCTTTTATTTTTCAGTGGTGTCCGATTTCTCCAAATCCTTCGGATGCTTCATGTCGACCGTCAAGGCGGAACCTGGCGCCTTCTCGGCTCTGTCGTCTTCATTCACAGACAAGAGCTCATCACAACTCTTTACATCGGCTTCCTTGGCCTCATCTTCTCCTCGTATTTTGTCTATCTGGCCGAAAAGGATACAGTGGGGCCGGATGGGAAGGTGGCCTTCACCAGCTATGCTGATGCGCTTTGGTGGGGTGTGGTATGTTATCAAAGTCACTTTTTAGTTGTAATTTTTTGATATTTCAGATCACAATGACAACCATTGGATATGGCGATGTGGTCCCGCAGACATGGATTGGGAGAATTGTGGCTTCTTGTTTCGCGATTTTCGCGATCTCATTCTTTGCGTTGCCGGCCGTAAGTTGGAGTTTCAGCTATATAGATTGTGGGGGCTTAATATTGAGGTAGAAGCTCCGCGGATTGGCCAATACCCCAAATATCGAAAGTCTTGGGAAAGTGGAGAATTTTATTTTCCCGAAAGATGACAAGAATTTTTTAACAAGGAAAGTACTTTTATGGGGTCGAGACATATATGAAAAAGACAGCTAATTTTTACATATTTCGAAGCAGAAACATTTTGCAATTTTTTTGATATGTAGATCGACCTGTAACTCCATGCCACATAGAACTACTTTCCGTGTAAAGTAGACCTGCTCCATCACATGGCTATAGTCGTATTAAACGCTGGGGGAATTTGGGACCATTCCCTTGTCATGTCCACACGCTTACTAGAAACGTAGTTGACAAGACAGCAGAGAGAGAAACGGCTCTATGCTCTCCTGATTTTCCATGTTTTTTGCGATACCACTTGAATATTTTCAAAAATGCCCGCCAAGGGCGAGCTGGCGTGTTTAGAAATCGATGATAAACCAGAAATCAGTCTGTCGGGAAAATAATGAGCGCAATTTCGTTGCGCTAGTCGCTTCGCTGAAGTGACGAACACCTTGATTTTGTCGCGTCTCAATTCATTTTGAAGCGATTTTCCCGGACGGAGTGTTCATTATTTTCCTGACAGGTTGATAGGCACACTTTTGAAGCAATAATCTTCTCACTTCCTTCTTTATAATACCTTTTATTTCCAGGGTATTCTCGGCTCGGGTTTTGCCCTAAAAGTCCAACAAAAACAGCGACAAAAGCACTTCAATCGGCAAATCCCCGCCGCCGCAACCCTCATCCAATGCATGTGGCGCTGCTACGCCGCCGACAAACACAGCAAATCCGTTGCGACTTGGCGCATCCACGTCGACCCAAACGCGAATAAAAAGAAGGAGGAAAAAGAGAGTTCACCGCCCCAGGCAAACGCCAATTCCAAGAATCAAGGCCAGCTAATTCAAAGGGGCGCCAAGAAACCCAACTCCGTGGCCGCGATGTGGAAATCGAAGGCTGCGTTCCAAAAGTAGGTGATTTCGTTGAGTGGGAGTGAATACGGGTCAGTTGCAGAGGCAGACTGCGGTCGGCTGGGTCGACGGAGGAGCCAAAGTTGAAGGAGAGCGATGGGGAAGGCGAGAATATGGATTCACCACCGAATAGACGTAAGATAACCCTCCAAATTTGCATGAAGATCAGTGTGGAAGACCGAAATTTTCTTGAAGAAAGCCTGTTTATGATTTTTAAAGGGAAATATCAGTCTGTCGGGAAAATAATGAGCAGTCCGAGAAAATGAATTTTGTCGTGAGAAAATGAAATTTTTTTTTACTTCAACGAAGCGATTGGTACAGTGACATTAGGCTCATTATTTTACTACAGACTTACCGGAAATACGACACTTATTGTTAGATTTTGGGGGAAATCTGGAAAAAACAACGACTACTTTTTTTCTGAGGCCTTGGCTTTTGCAATGCTCTCAACAACATTTTCACTATGTTGGAAAAATAATAAGCACTCTGTGGCATCGATAAATACTACATTTTTCCGAGGCCTATGAGATTTTTTAGCCTGCGATTCACAAAAAACCGGGATATTTGCGCCAAGAATGCATATAAAGACGATATAATCTTTTCAAGATCAAAAAAAACAAAAAAAAAACAATTGGCATTCTGTATCTCATGTAGCACACAACGCGTTGCAACGTTCAAGAAAATAATTTTTCCATTCAAAAATCGTAAACATATGTATGTCTAAAAATGGACTTTCGACCGCTTGCTATCCTCATTTTCTATGTTCCCTCGTCTGTCGGGAAAATAATGAGCATAATGTCGCTGCGGTAATCGCGTTGCTGAAGTGAAAAAAATTGATTTTCTCGATTCATTTTCTCGGCGGTAATGCGATTTTCGAAGCGACAGAGTGCTCATTATTTTCCCGACAGACTGATAGATTACTATTGCTAAACCCAAAAAAAAAATCGTTGATCTGAATGTCGGACCTTCCCAGTTATTTTTCAAACCCATTTCTGAATTTTCAGTCCGCTGCAACCCTCGCAAGAAGAGTTCGCTGTTCGATTCGAAGAGTGAGGACGCCGACAACAACGAAGAGGAGACCAGTCCGTTGAAGCGGGTTGCGCATATTTGCGAACTGACCGACGTACATAAAAATGCAATAAGAGCGATTCGAAAAATCAAATACTTTGTGGCCAGACGGAAGTTTGGGCGAGCCAGGAAACCCTACGATGTTAGGGACGTCATAGAGCAATACAGTCAAGGACACGCCGAGCTGTTCGTTCGGATCAAAGGGCTTCAACGAAGGTAAGATATTAGCAATTTTTCCCCGTGACGAAAAAGTCTACCCACTTTATGAATATATGATATTTTTTCCAATTTATGGGTAAAAGTTCCTTATTTTGGCCACAACTTATAACCTTGCGGAAACTGGTCGGAATTAGCCCAAATTTAGCGTGCACGCTCAATTCGTCGTTATCAATGCCCGGACAGTGGATTTAGTTAGTGAGATACCTTCTTTTTTACGTACCACCTTACCCTTCAAAAACGGCTGCAGCCTGTGATTTTACACTTTATACGATGAAACATGTCCGGAACTAAACTTATTGCCTCCGTATGGAACTAAATGAGTCGTCACAGCCCTTTAGGTACCCTTAAAACTATAGAGCTATTATAGTAATTCAGTGCCAGCTGGTCGAAGCGTTTTTTTCTAACTTTAGTGCCCAAGCTTGGGCGCAGTTCGCGGAGTACCTTTGTTGTGGCCAAAATAAGGAACTTTTTCCAATTTATGCACAGTAGTTGATTGATAAATTGCATGTTTTGCAATATTTATCTCCCATTCCCCTTCTTATCTCATTTTTTTGGCAAGTGCTTTGAGATGAACTCCCAAACAAGGTCATATGTTATTTCTTTGTTTGTAAAATGAGACTAGACTGGCGGAAGGTTCAAAGTCTCCAGCGTTTAATGCGAAAATGCACTGTTCTTTGAAGCTTAAATTTGGAGGAAATGTTGGAGGGGACAAAAAACATCTTCAGCTTTCGCCTTTCAGCTAACGAGACATTAAAGTCTGTCGGGAAAATAATGAAGACAGTGTCGTTGTGCCGATCGCTGAAGTGAAAAGCAATTTGATTTTCCAGCGACACAATTCGTTTTTTCGGCGGCGATGCGATTTTCGATGCGACAGAGTGCTCATTATTTTCCCGACAGACTAAAAAAGCTTTTTTTTCTATCTGTCCGGGAAATTAAAAAAAAAATCTGGCCGTCGCACAAAAAGCTTGTCGCACGGCGACGATTACTATTTCCATTTTCACAAAGTGCCTGGACATTTATCGCAATCCGCGCCGTGCACAAAAATCCTCCATTTTGCACCGCGCACTCACCTTTTTTTTGGTTTTGCACTGTGCATTTGAAAAATCGCTGCGACGTAAGCTTTTCTCAACTGCGCCGCCGCGGCTGTGCTCAAAAATGTGCACAGTGCAATCGGTTTTTTTGAGGTTTGTTTTTTTTTTGCGACTCTGCACTGTGCATTTTGTGCGATAATCCCCAAAAAACATTTTGCACCGTGCATCGGCCAAAAAAGTGCTTTTGCACAGTGCAATTTTGTTGTTTTGCCTGTCGCGCGCGATTCCCATTTTTAGTTGCGACAAATCGATTTTTCGAAGTGCGACGGGATTTGGGGCTTGCGCGGCAAGCCGTCGCAAAGCGATGATGGGCGATTCCAAGGCGCGACGAATCCACATTATTTTCCCGACAGGCCGATAAGCCTCTGGGATCCATTTTTTATCAGTCTGTCGGGAAAATAACGGCGGATCGTCGCGCCTCGGAATCGCCCATCATCGCTTTTCCACTGCAAGCCGCGGCTGGGGATTTGGTGCGCGATAGCGGCGAGGCGAGACATTTTGCTGCGACGATCCGCCGTTATTTTTCCGACAGCCTGATACTCACTGATTCCTCTTTTTCAGGCTAGACCAGACGCTCGGAAAGCCGGGCCAAAACCTGAACGGCCGCAAATCCCACGCGTACTCCATTATCGGCCGCCTCACCAAGTTGGAGATGCAGATGAACAACGTGGACAGGAAAATCGACAACATGACCCGAATCATGCATGGGATTTATCGTGCGGTCCAACAGGACCGGATATCTTTGCGCTCCTCCACTCCCGAGCCGTACGCCAATCAGAATCGGTCGGATTCGGTTTCGTTGAGCGTCAGTGAAGCCTTGACGCCGAACGTTGGGTCGCAGCCGAGGTTCATTGGAGACTGAGCGACAAATACGGAGAGTTTTTGAGCTGCGATTTCCAAGCTTGAGGCCAATAAGAGAGGATTTTCAAAAGAAATTGGTGAAATTCTGCCAAAATACGCCTTATACGGATGTTTGTACTTTATTTACGGATAGCATTTGTATTCTTCGTACTATTTGAAAATGTAAAACTGTTCTTGCTTTGTATTTTAACTGTCTACATCTACAAGATCTCCATAAAATGCGCGAATAAACGGGTTGTAAAAAAAGAGCTGTTTTTTTCTCTCTATGTAATATCGAAGTAGAATGTTAATATTTGCAAATCCTGGTCCGAAAATTGGCGCTACAATTTTCCAGTCAGCGATACTTCAGGCACATAGTATTGCAAAGGTTCGTCGCTGTGTGCATGAGGAGGCTAAAAGAAGGCTTAGTTAGTATAATAGAAATACAGGGTGCGGCAAAAAAATGGAAACTTTTTTTCATGGGTCCTGCCGCGAAAACTTTTGAGTGCAGCAAAAATTATTTTCATACCATTTAATTTTACGTAGTTTTCTCTAATAGACCTTATAATTTCATGTCCATATCGATTTATTAACGTTCTTTTTTTGAATATCAAACAAAGGGACCTCGATTTTGGACCTGTTTTTAAGCTGTTCGAATTGCTAATTTTCAGGTCCTAGGATAGTTTAGCTATTTCGAGGTATTTTACATGTGCTCACATTAATACAAGTCTCCGACGAGCCTTCGTCAAGCCACCAGCGGCTTTAGTAGGCCTGTAGGCACTTCCTACAACCTTTTTCCGGGCTTCCATCGCAGATCGTGAACATGGTTTCAAACTTTAAGAATTTAACGCTAAATTCCGCTTCTCGATCTCTCCAAATGTATTTCTCCCCCAACCACGCGAACATTCCGCGGAATAAACACCAGAAAACGTGAAATTTCTGGCTTCTTTCTAATCAATAGTTTTTTGAGTTTCGTAAGAAAGTAATCGCTTTTCTTTCGCCATCTGCCCAAAGGTCACTTCCTCATGAAATTTTAATATTATTATTTATTGTACTAGTCGCGGCAAAAAGTCCTTAGAATTTTTCGCGGCCCCCAAATCTCGTCGCACCCCGAAATGTTGATTTGTCGCGGGAATCGCGCGCGACAATAAGGCAAAATCAACAAAATTGCACAGTGCAAAATGTGCTTTCGGGTGAATGCACAGTGCGGAGTCGCAGAAAATTCTAAGGACTTTTTGCCGCGACTAGTATTATACTTGGTCATGCTTGATAAGGCCGCCATACGGTCGTAATCTCATCCGCACGTGGTTGTTTACGAGCGCCCGACCGCGGGCGCTGAGGAAATGGGGCGGGCAGCGAATAAACATTTGGGGGGAAGGGCGGGAGACATTTCGCAAACCAAACGTATGATAAGATCGCCTATTTAAACAAGTGATTCGCTCGCAAACAGTAGTGTAATACTGTCACAAGAAACAAGCAACAATGCCTTGTGGATGCGGTAAGTTGTTGACAGCTGAAAGGGGGAGCTTTGTATAAGAAAGACCTTCTGTAAGACTGTCGGGAAAATAATGAGTGAAATGTCGCTGCGACAAATCGCTTCGCTGAAGTGAAAGCAATTTGATTTTCCTCGCGAGAAAATTCATTTTCTCGGCGAATTTTCGCTGCGACAGAGTGCTCATTATTTTCCCGACAGACTGATAGATACAGGTCCGTTTCATTGCTCATGTCCAAATAGATCAAGCCATATATAGATCTAGCAAAAACAGATGGCCTAAGCTCTAAGAAATTTTTCTCTAGCAGTCTGTCGGGAAAATAACATCGGATCGTCGCGCCTCGGAATCGCCCATCATCGCTCTGCGACGGCTGCCGAAGCTGGACTTTGGTGCGCGACAGCTGTCTTTTTCCGACTATACGAAACATTTTGCTACGACGACCCGCCGTTATTTTCCCGACACACTGATATATACAAGTACCAGTTCATTCTTAAAGCCGCTGGAGTGATTTTTGGCGTCTATCAGTCTGTCGGAAAAATAACGGCGGATTGTCGCGCCTCGGAATCGCCCATCATCGCTTAGCGACTTCAAGCCGCGGCTGGGAATTTGGTGCGCGATATCGGCGAGGCGAGACATTTTGATGCGACGATCCGCCGTTATTTTCCCGACAGACTGATACACGGTGCAGAAGAAGCCAGGGTTCGAGCGACAGCCCAAAAAATCATATTGCACGGTGCAAAGTGAACCTTTGTTTTCTGCACAGTGCATGTCGCCGAAATCACTCCAGCAACTTTGCGAACGGGGTAGTGACCAGAGATTACCACGGTCAAAATTTCGGCTCCGGCTCCGGTTCTTAGCTCCCAGAGCCGGAGCCGAGGCCAAATTTGCAGCTCCGGCTCCGGCTCTCGGCTCCGTGCAAAATTTAAAAGGGCCTCCGTCTCCGAATCCCAGCTCCTATGCAAAAATTTTTTTTACACAGCCAACGTTTTCGCAGTCAAGTCACATCTCCCCAGTGTTTTTCAATCAATTTGGTTTAACAAGATCACGAAATTTTTACTTTAATTACCGCTGGGAATCCTGGCTCCGACTTTGGGCTCGGGAGCCGGAGCCGACCCCAAAATTTCCGGCTCCGGCTCTGGCTCCCGGCACGGAGCCGGAGCCGCTCAGAGCCGGAGCCAAGAGCCGGCTCAGGAGCCGTGGCAATCTCTGGGAGTGACTCTGTCGGGAAAATAGTGAGCTTTGTCGCATTGAAAATCACATCGTCGCCGAGAAAACGAATTGTTTCCGCGGCAAAACCAAATCGCTTTTCATTTCAGCGATTCGATTTTCGATGCCAGATTGCTCATTATTTTCCCGACAAATTTATAGTAAAAAAACCCTCTATAACAAACCACTTTTATCTCTCCTTAACTTTCTATACAGAGCCTCCCTCATAGCTATTCTAACTAACCCACTGTTATCTGCAGGCTCCGCCCTAATCGCCGGCACTGCCGTGCACGACAAAAACCCGTATTTGCTGATTTCAGGAAAGCCCGATTGTAAATGCCCTGAAGGCCAGGATTGCTGCCAGGAGGGGAAATGCGAGTGCTGCCACAAAGAGGAATGCAGCGAGCAGAAGGAGTGCTGTGCCAAAAAGGAATGCGCCTCTGGTAAGTACAATATTTTAAAGTTATAGGGGAAGTTCTCCAAGTGCAACGGTCAGATTTTGATAATAAAACTAGGTCAAAATTTAGATTAATTTTTTCTATGAGATAAGCGAAAATCCTAGCTCACGATTTGCAGAAACGGCCGGGATTTTTAGACCGAAAGTCGGCAAAAATGTGACTCTCTTTCGCAAATTTTGGCACGAAAAAGTTATATGCTTATTTCTACCGTAGAGGGTAATGTTTCCACAAAAAAATCATTTTTTTCCGAACGGAATTGGCAAAAATATGGCCAAAAAATTTTTTTCTCTCTGGCCGCTCTCCACGTTTCGTGTACTCTCTGGGCAATAAGTAATTGTTGAATATCTCGGGAGTCTTTGAAGAGCGCGAGCTAAAACTTTGAGGAATTGATACAAGACTTGTACCCAAGGTACATGCAAGGTTTTAAAAAAATCTGAGCGTCGCACTATGACCTTTCATAATTTTTTGTTTGATCTAGGACAGTAATGGGTTACAATTTTTATAAACACTTTCCGGCTTGAAAAGAGCCATTAGGCATACTTAATTAAATTACAACAGTATATCACTTTGTCGGGAAAATAATGAGCACTCTGTCGCATCGAAAATTGTCGCCGAGAAAAATGAATTGTGTCGCGACAAAATCAAATTGCTTTTCACTTCAGCGATGCGATCGATGCAACGACATTGCGCTCATTATTTTCCCGACAGACTGATATTTAGTTTTTAAAAGTTGTAAACAGAGATGCCACGGCCAAAATTTTGGCTCCGGCTCTTAGCACGGCATTGCGCTCATTATTTCCCCGACAGACTGATATCACGTTCTTTGCACTGAAGCTGCATCAAATGATATGATTTTTTGAGTATGCTGTTAGATTGTCCCAAGATCTTTCTATGCGGAATTTGGAGGTTCTAGGCCCAGCAGTTCCCGAGATACGAGGTGGAAAGAAAATTTTGTCAACCAGTATATCGTAACTGTCTCCAATCTGCCAGAAGTTTCGCTCTCAGTCATCTGACAAACTTACCCGCAAAAATTCTTTACAACGGAAGTGATTCATGCAAAAATAAATAGCTTCTGACGTTGTAAAACCAATCAGCTGACTCCGAGACCATTTTTAATTGCAACCCCTAAATTATTTTTTTCAACATAAAAGCCCAATCAAGGTAACAAATTTCAGGTGAATGCGCCAAGTCCGAGCACTCCGAATGCCCCGCCGGAGGCGAGGCAAAATGCCCCGTTCCCGAGGAGAGTCATAAATAAAGCCCTCAAATTCAAGATTCAACAGAAATCGAAACGCCTACGACGGTGTGTACAGAAACTCGTAACGTCCAAAATCCCTGTGTCTATTCAGAAGTTGTACCTTTTACATGTATATCATAGCGAAGCCATTTGTAATATTTGTGATCAATAAACACTCTGGATGAAGTTAGTGGTCGTTAGGGAGTTAAAAAATCGTCAAGAACACGAGGTTGGTGGTAAAATGGATAGATTACAAAACATGTAAAAATTTAATAATGGCAAGCTTACCAGGGATGCGCCCATGTGCGCTGGTCAGATTTTTTTTGAGTTTTGTTAAAATATATGAGCGTCGCACTTGGTGCATTTATTAGGGTGTCCCATAAGTCTTGCAAATTTTTGGGTTTAAGAATGAACGTCTTATTTCGGGGGCCTAGAGAACTGTACTCCTTAATGTTTGGTACTGTTAGAACCACCATCCTTTACACTTGTTAACAGCATAAAAATTTTAACTAACCACGTGGCCTCTGGGCAAATACTTAACATTCTTTAATATCATCCAGTTTTGGGAAGCGTTAGGAAAGCGATCCTGTTCTTTGGTAAGTGAGGCTGCACCTTTGCAACCACACTTTTTAATAAATCTACTGGGTGCTCTGTTTCTAAATAAGCGGAGCTTTCCACTTATAAGCGTAACCCAGCCTGAGCCTAGCCAACTTTCATTGTATAAAACGTCATCCACAGGCCGCGCGCCTCTCATTTCCCGAAGATTTATTTTTTGGAGGCGATGACTATTAACTACGCCAAAATGCCCTCCGGAACAAAACCAAAAAAGTAGATGATATACTGTCAAACACTTTCAAAATTGGTCATCGCAAGTTTTGCTTACAAGGGAAGCACCTCAAGTGCGACGCTCAGATTTTCTTTCAGTTTTGCACACACATTGGGCATAGATTAGATATCAATTCCTGAAAGTTTTAGTTCGCGTTTTACAGGCGCAGCCGAGATATGCAACGATCTTTGCGGCTGGGAGAGTTCGCAAAACGCGGAGAAACTTTTTGTACCGAAATTCGGCAAAGAATCTCAAAATCTCCTTACAAGGGAAGTACTCCAAGTGCGACGCTCAGATTTTCTTTAAATTTTGCACACACGTCGGGTATGGACCAAATATCAATTTCTAAAAGTTTTAGCTCGCGCTTTGCGGGCGCCGCCGAGATATCGAACGATTTTTGCCGCCGAGAGACGTGGAGAGCGGTCAGCGAGAAAACACCTTTTTGGCCATAACTTTGGCAGTTTCGTGCGGAAAAATTTGATTTTTTGTAGAAACATTATCCTTTACGGTTGAAATAGGAATAAAACTTTTTGTACCGAAATTCGGCAAAAAGTCCTAAATTTTGGCCGACTTTCGATCTACAAATCTCGGTTGTTTCTGCAAAGCGCGAGCTAAGATTCTCGCCGATATTTTAGAAATAATCATTCTAAATTTGTGCCAAGTTTCATCAAAATCTGTGCGTCGCACTTGAGGTACTTCCCTGTTAGTTGAAAATAATCTGTAATGTTTGATTGTAGTTCTTTCGTCCAAACAAGTTCCCTCATTGACCTCAAAGCTCCACAGCCACATAATTTTAAAAGCAATAACGCTTTACAGTGCACTCTTAATGTTTGAACCTCGTTTACCAAAGATCGGCCTAGATATTCTTCTACATCTTTCCTTTTTATTTACACTCCTCAAAAACTCCGAAATCCTTCATTGCATGCTTTTATTCTCTCACTTCAATCCCCCTGAATAACACGCGATTATGAATTTCGCCTTTTACGTCAATTGCGGATTAATATTGCGAAGGGTTGTAGTCGTTGGATAAATGGCTTCCTGAGAAGCCATAAATTTTTTGCAGGCTGGAAAAAAACAAATATCTTGGAAGCTCTTCTGTATAGAGGGATTTTATATTTTCCGTTCGTCGGGAAAATAATGAGCGAGATGTCGCTGCGCCAATCGCGTCGCCGAAGTGAAAGCGATTTGGTTTCGCTGCGACAAGAATTCTCAGCGGCGATGCGATTTTCGATGCGATACTGTGCTCATTATTTTCCCGACAAAAATGGGAAATAAGATTATTTTAATAGTGCGCTTTGATCTATCTTCCAGCATCATTAAGGTCTAAATATCCGTCAAGAAAAAACAGTCATGTGAAGGCTGGGCGCAGCTCGGAAAAAACACTTTTTCGGGGAGGGGTAGGCCAGGGGCCAATGCGCTAACTGAAAGTTTTCTGAAAATCATAGGGCGCAGCTCGGAGAACTTGCACGGGCTCAACTCGCGTCTTGGGCGCAGCTTGAAAACATGTTGAAAGTTAGTTCCGGCGAGCTGAGAAAGAATGTTTTCCGAGCTGCGCCCTATGATTGTTTCAGCTAACTTTCAGATAGCGCATTCGCCACAGAACTCAGATGTTTTTCCAACCCTTCCGCAAAGTTGCTGGAGTGATTGCGGCGACATGCACTGTGAAAAAAACAGTCAGACTGCGACAGCTCAAAGAAGTCTATTGCACTGTGAAAAAGCGACAAATCGCACAGTGCAAAGTCAAGCTTTTGTTTTTGCACCGTGCATGGCGTAAAAATCACTCCAGCAACTTTGCGAACGGACCATTATGTCATAACTTGTTGACAAGGCTTTGAAAACTTCCCTTTTTTTATTTGATTATTATTTTCTCGTATTAAATTACTTCTTTCGAATTAACGGGAGCCGTGAATTTGACAAGGTAAGGGGTGTTATTAGGTTATGGCGTTATTGCTTAAGTCTTTATTGCCCATGTCTACGCCAGGTATAAACCCTCTTTGCCAAGGGAATACGATTAGCTAGAGCCATCGGGCGTGATGTCTGGTGCTCCGCGAAATTGATGCATTCGATGTTGTCTTGGAGACCTGAACGATTAATCGACTGGTTCATCCGAGGTTTAGACATGGCTTTCGGGCCGGACCGAACAGTAAAATACTGAAATTTTTATTTTCTGCATGTCAGCTTTATGCCTCGGACGTGCTTTTCGGTGCCCGCAAATGGACTTTTCGATGCCCGCAAATTTTCGCGGTTCGCGACCGCAAATTAAATCGAAATCTGCCCGCACTTTTTCTGCCCGCAAATTATAAAAATGTTATAAAACGCCTGAAACATGGATGGTTAGTGAAATATTTGTATAAATACGGTGTAATTAATAAATTTACATATGTAAAAATGTAATTGACAAAAAAAGCTTTTGAGAAGTGTCTCTGATCTGTGTTTTTTGGGATAAAATTTCAAATCACGAAATGATATCATGTTTTTGGACAAAGCTGATGAATATGGAGTCCAAATCAAGTTGTTATAAAGGCTGAACAAAACTTTTTTTGTCTAAACGAACTTTTCGATGCCCGCAGATCGGAAATTCGGGTCCTCAGGCATTACCAATGTAAAAATCTTCATTTTTATCTTCCATAAGTCACATTATGACACTTTTCACGACCAGTGACACCTATTTTTCAGTCGAAAAGTTCAAATTTAAATTTGCGGGCAAAAAAAAGTTTGAAAACTTTTGGATGCCCGCAAATCAAAAAATGCTCCAAAACCTTTCGTAAGCCACCGTAGTGAAAAAAAATTGATTACTAGGACAAGATTAGGCACTATGATCATTTTGTGGCAATTGAGGCCGATTTGTTTGCAGGAAAACGGTTTTTTGGCAGAAAAAATATTTGCGGGCAAAAAAAGTTCTAAAAATTTTTGGATGCCCGCAAATCAAAAAAGGCTTCCAAATCAATCAAAACTTGTTGTCTTGGGTAAAATTGGGTTAATAATGCTACTATGACAAGTTTTATGACCATTGGCACCGATTCTTTGGTTGAAAAGTTCAAATTTAAATTTGCGGGCAAAAAAAGTTCCAAAAATTTTTGAATGCCCGCAAATTTTAATTTGCATTTTTCCACCGAAAAATCGGTGCGTATGGTCGTAAGAAGTGTGAGAATGGCATTATAAGCCCAATTTTACCCATGACAACAAGTTTCGATTGATTTGGAGGCTTTTTTAGATTTGCGGGCATTCAAAAATTTTTGGAACTTTTTTTGCCCGCAAATTTAAATTTGAACTTTTCAACCAAAGAATCGGTGCCAATGGTCATAAAACTTGTCATAGTAGCATTATTAACCCAATTTTACCCAAGACAACAAGTTTTGATTGATTTGGAAGCCTTTTTTGATTTGCGGGCATCCAAAAATTTTTAGAACTTTTTTTGCCCGCAAATATTTTTTCTGCCAAGAAACCGTTTTCCTGCAAACAAATCGGCCCCAATTGCCGTCGGAACGATCATAACGTCTAATCTTGACATAGCAACCAAGGTTTTTTCATTACGGTGACTCACGAAACATTTTGGAGCATTTTTTTATCTGCGGGCATCCAAAAGTTTTCAAACTTTTTTTGCCCGCAAATTTTAATTTGCATTTTTCCACCGAAAAATCGGTGCGTATGGTCGCAAGAAGTGTGAGAATGGCATTATTAACCCAATTTTACCCAAGACAACAAGTTTTAATTGATTTGGAAGCCTTTTTTGATTTGCGGGCATTCAAAAATTTTTAGAACTTTTTTTGCCCGCAAATATTTTTTCTGCCAAGAAACCGTTTTCCTGCAAACAAATCGGCCCCAATTGCCGTCGGAACGATCATAACGTCTAATCTTGACATAGCAACCAAGGTTTTTTCATTACGGTGACTCACGAAACATTTTGGAGCATTTTTTTTATCTGCGGGCATCCAAAAGTTTTCAAACTTTTTTTGCCCGCAAAGCTAAAATTCAAATTTTCCACCTGAAGATGTGCAGCAATTGTCTCGTGGCAGCTTGAAATTACACAAAAAATGATAACAATGAAGATTTTTACATTCGTAACGTCTGAGGACCCGATTTTCCGATCTGCGGGCATCGAAAAGTTCGTTAAATCAAAAAAAAGTTTTGTTCAGCCTTTATAACAACTTGATTTGGACTCCATATTCATCAGCTTTGTCCAAAAACATGATAAAATTCCGTGATTTGATATTTTATCCCAAAAAACATGGATCAGAGACACTTATCAAAAATTTTTTTTGTCAAATGCATTTTTACATATGTAAATTTATTAATTACACCGTATTTATACAAATATTTGACTAATTATCCATATTCCAGGTGTTTCATAACCTTTTTATAATTTGCGGGCAGAAAAAGTGCGGGCAGATTTCGATTTAATTTGCGGTCGCGAACCGCGAAAATTTGCGGGCATCGAAAAGTCCATTTGCGGGCGAAAAAAATTCCTCCTTATGCCTCTATCAAATATATATCTTTTATGGCCTCACAAAGCGACGCAATGCAGATTATCTCGTGTTAGGCATACATTAATCGTCCTACAAAATCCCTCAGGCGAGATTACACATTGTTTTTTACTGTCGCTGCAGACTGGTGAAAATCTAAGCGTTATGGGTGCTTCCATTGTTAGTATCAGTCTGTCGGGAAGAAATGCGAATTTTTCGGGCCTTGGCGGCATTGTGCTCATTATTTTTCCGACAGACTGGTGCACTTTCTTCGTTCGTATAACTTTTTTGGGATGTTGTTTGCAACCTGACTTCTTTTTTACACTCTGCAAACGCCAAAAATCATTCCAGCGACTATACAAAGGGAGTCGTATCTCTTCAGAGAAACGAGGTACATACAGTGACGGACCTGATCCAGTGGTAAAAAACGTACCATTTTCCATTCGGGAGGTACCAAAAAAGGTAGCCAAATGCCTCCCTCTGCAACTAAAAAAACTCCGTTTTGAAGGTTTCCCCTCACAAAAAGAGCGGGCGCGTTCTTGAAAACGGAGTTTTTTAGTTGGAGATGGAGGCATTTTGCAGCATTTTTTGATACTTCCCGGATGCAAAAAATGCCTCCACTTCCAACTAACAAAACCCTGTTTTGAAGGACGCGCGCTTTTGAAATCGGAGTTTTTTCACTTGGAGATGGAGGCATTTTGCCACATTTTTTAATACCTCCTGGAAGCAAAATGGTACGTTTTTTTGCCACTGGATCAGGCCCCCCTCTGCATTTGGATATTCGGGATCTTTAGCTGATAAATAATGCAAAAAATATGCTTTGCATTCGAATTCTTCTTTGTTTAACATACACGTCAAAACTTTCCCACTTTCCCAGTGCAGACGTTTTTTGACAATTCAATTATTCACATTCATATATCTCTAAAATAATCCGTGTTCGCGGGCCGTACGGCCGCATATAAAACAGTCGCAAAACCGAGTGCCTCGCGGGGTTCTTTCGGCATCCGAGCGGACGAGTGACAAGGTGTGTGTGTGTGTGTGTGTCCGAAGGGAGTTTTGTATGGGCCCGCTAATTACACTCTTTTATGCTTTTCAGGATAAGTGTAAAAGGGGTGGGTTAGGGAGTGAAAGTGGAGGGAATTGGCAATTGATGCTATATTCGTTCAAAATTTACGGTTATACTTTGAGTTCTCGGTTCATTTGCAACGAAATTACTGTAAAAAAGACCGTAGTATATGATTTACAAATTGCTTTTAAGGACGTGATTTTTGTTTCCAAGCAATTTCAGAGGTTTTTTTGTTCTATCAAGAACTGCCATTAGACGAAAAATCTTTTAATTTTCGAGCATTGACTAAAGCTTCTCGAAGCGACGGCCAGCTTTTACGTATTTACGAGCACTTTACTGGGCATTTGAATATGTCCTTCTGGCGCAAATTTCTGAGAATCAATCGCGGCAAAAAATACATATATCGGAGATTCTGTTGCATTCTGAAAAAAATGATTTGTCGCTGCGAAAAACAGACTGATATTATCACCTTTTCTTAAGATGAAGTCGGTCGTCTTTGAAGCTTTATAAAAACCGTTATGTAAGGCCTTACTGTACGACGCGAATATCATTAGATAGCTTTTTCAACGTCCTTTCATAGCATGTAAACAGAAATTGCAAAATTATATTCCAACCTGTAAAAAATGCAAGACAAAAAAGACGGCGGAGTCATACTTTTAGACCTATTAGTATAAAATAAGCCACTGGTTTAATTGCAGGTTAAATATGGGGAGGTGTAATGTCAAAATCTACGTACTACGCCTTTTTAAAAGTTCGTTTTTTGTCGCGGCGCACAGAGCATTCTTCCACTTTTTCACTGTACAGGGCGTTTCAAGAAATTCCCCGGAAAGCAATCGTCGATTTCTCGGCGCTCAGTCAAGATATCCAAAAAATTTCTTTTGCATAATAAAGAAGAATACGGGCGGTTTTTTGCCTATGAAAATCACTTCCTCCGCCAACGCGGAAAGCAGTGTATTCGGCGGAGACTTTTGGGCACTTTTTTGGTCATCACACCCATCTTAAACGCTGTTTTGTGGTTTTTGATGGTTGAAATGAGGATTCTTGCTTTTGTGTTTACCAAGCGTTCGGCGAAGGTACGACAGCTGCTCGCCGTATCTTAACTCAGCTATGGACAAGAAATGGCCCAACACAATTTTTATGGTCTGGCAAGCATTCTCTGCAGGTGTCGTAAACCCTCAAAAATGTTGTCGCCAAGCCTTGTTAGACGTTTAGCCATCGAGAAACGACTTGGTTCACTAGAAAACAACAAAATATTTTTCGTTTAAATTTCTCTTTGCCATGCTGTTTCAAACATCCGCACAGTGCGCTCCGACTTTATCGACGTTGCAGGGACTGCATTGCACCGTGCGGTCGCTAAATCGGATCGCTTAGCATTGTAGCCGGCCATCTGATCCATTGTGCAAAAAATTTGAAGACTTTCTGGATGCTTCAGTGTCGCAATAAAGCATTAAAAATTCGGGTGATAACCAAAAAAGCGCCCCAAAAGTCTCCGCCGAATACACTGCTTTCCGCCTCGGCGGAGAAAATGATCTTCATAGGCAAAAAACCGCCCATATTCTTCTTTATAATGCAGAAAATTTTTTTTGGATACCTTGACTGAGCGCTAAGAAATCGTCGATTACTTTCCGGGGAATTTCTTGAAACACCCTGTACAATAATTGTCGCGCGAGAGTTCAAAAACCTTGCGCAACTTTGGGGAGGCATAGAAAGGTCAATTCAAAATGTATTTTTTTGAAATTCAATCGGTTAAAAATGGCGGGTCTCAGCTGCAGAAAAATCTAAATTTTAGAAAAATCGGCGGAGTCTCGGCGGAGAAATCCAAAGAAAAAATTTACCCGTTTCGAGTGGCCCACTCTGTAGTATAATGTTTGTAACGATGGGTTCAATTAGGTGTAAGAAGAGGCTTTTGGTAAGCGTACAATATACCGCACTCAGGCTTTGTTTAAAAACTGCATATAAACGTCGGGTTTAGGCCACATATCATTTCCTAAAAATTTCAGCTCATTTTTTTTGGCGCGACTAGTACGACGATTTCTTCAAGCTTCTCTCCTCCTGGAGATTATCTCATAATAAGGGCAAAAAAATTTCCTTGTTGAGAAATTCTTCTCTTGTAATTTTCAATATTTATCGTTTTTTGCTGTCTCCGAGACTCGTATTAGTCTGTCGGGAAAATAGTGTGCTCTGTCGTATCGAAGGAGAAAATGAATTTTATTGTTCCGCCGCAAAATCAAATTGCTCATTATTTTCCCGACAGACTGATAAAAGTGCCTTTTAAAAGCTGAAAGTTTTTTCGGACATCAAACTGTTACATAGCTTCGCATTTTGACAGCTGCTTTTACACCGGCGAGGTGTGTAAAGGCCACCCCCGCCAATTAATTTGAATCTGAGTGTCCTGCTCGAAGGCACGCTCGTTTGTTTGTCACTACATTTTCAAACCGCCACATTTTAGCCACATCGTCGGTTGGGTGTCTACAATTTGTTTTTGTGGTATTGTAATGGACCGATGAGCCATTTGTTCGCTCAAATTTAACAGCCAGTGATAGAGACTACGTGTAAAAATGACCTCAACTCCATCAACATCCTTTGTTTATGCGGCGAAGCTGATGACAACAACGCCGCTGCCGGTAGCCGATGGAGATTTTAATGACACTCATCATGGAGCACCCGGAAAGCCGCAAGTAACGCTGTGCGATTGCTTGAGCCGCCTGGAACAGAGTTGTTTGAGGTAATAAAAGACGGTTATCTTTACTGAACTTTCACTGTGTAGATTTGAATAGGACCTAGTCTACTTTTGTACCATAAATCAGAAGGATTACTAAACAGTTGTAGGTAGTTTATTCGCTATAAAAGGGGCTTTTTGTGGTTGTGAGGAGGCTAGGGTTACAAGGGAAGTTCTCTAATAGTAAGCCCAGATTTTTTTATCAAATTTTCTGTAAACTTTGCACACTTGTAAGGCATAGCCCACATATTAATTACTGAAAGTTTTAGTTCGTGCATTGCAGGCGCAGTCAAGATATTCAATAGACTTTTCGGCCGAGAGAACATGCGAAAGGCGGAAAGTGGTCACAGAAAAACAAACTTTTTTAGTTTTCTTGCTAGTTTCACGCGGAAAAAATAGTTTTTTATTGAAACATCACCCACTACTGCAGATAAAACCATTAAACTTTTCGTGCCAAAATTCGCAAAAAAATGTCATATTTTTTTGCAAGTTTCAATCTAAAAATCTCAGTCGTTTCCGCAAAGCGCGATCTTGGAGTCTCCGAAATACCTTATTAGAAAGAAGTAATATTCATAATTATATTTGTGTCAAGTTTCATCAAAATCTAAGCGTCGCACTTTGGGTCCCGCCCCAGTTAGTCTACAATGTTTGAAGCTTCAAAAAAATCGTTAAGCACAGGCTTCGTTGTATATGGATCCGTATCGAAAGCTATTTTATCTTTACTTTATAGACTTTTCACCAAGCGACAATAAAATTTTAAAACTCAACACGCATAGATACGGCGTATTTTACAATATTTTACAACTCAACCCTGCTTCGTCCAATAAGTAAAACCTAATTTTTTTCAGGTCTCGAGAACCAATCCCAGTCAGCATGCTCAATTACAACTCGGATCTCGGCCGAATGATGTACTCGTTGGCGATTATCGGGATGTTCTCGATGATCATCCTGCTCCTCATGGTGCGCTCAATCAAACGGTCCAATTCCACAATCGAGGTAGGGTTTATAACATTATTAGAATCGTTTTGTATTTAGAAGTCCATATTGGGAATAAAATACGGGTTCATTTACAACTTTTAAAAACTAAATATCAGTCTGTCGGGAAAATAATGAGCACAATGTCGCTGCTCCGATCGTGTCGCTGAAGTGAAAAGCAATTTGATTTTTTCACAACGCAATTCATTTTTTCGGCGGCCATGTGATTTTCAATGCGACAAAATGCTCATTATTTTCCCGACAGACCTGAAAAATAATCTTCCATTTTTCCAGGTCGAAGCCCTTTTGGATGCCATGCGATTCCGCGAAGAGTTGGACCTTCAACAACGCCAGAAACGTCGTCTGCAGAAGGCCAAGAGCAAGGTGACCGCATGGCTCACCAAAACCAATGGAAAGCTGTGGACCAGCTCCCCTCAAATCATCTTGCCCAACAATGGCGCTACGAGCAGCGCCAATGGAAAAGTGCAAACTGCGCAGAAGAAACCGGTGCCGAAGAACACACGGAACGACTCCATGCAGTGAGTACAGTGACGGACCTGATCCAGTGGCAAAAAACGTATCATTTCGTATCCGGGAAGTATCAAAAATGTGGCAAAATGCCTCCCTCTGCAACTAAAAAAACTCCGTTTTGAAGGGTTTCCCTCACAAAAAGAGCGGGCGCGTTCTTGGAAACGGAGTTTTTTAGTTGGAAATGGAGGCATTTTGCAGCATTTTTTGATACTTCCCGGATGCAAAATGGAACATTTTTGCCACTGGATCAGGTCGATCAGGTTGCAATTTTTGATAGACCAAATTAAATTTAAGCTCTGCCTGTTATAGCCATCTCAGCGAGAGAACAAGTCATTCACCCCGCATTTTCAGGTCTTCCGGCTCATTTCTCCCGGAAATCGTCATCTCCAACAGTGAGGACATGTACAACAGACGCCAGAACAGCTGTACCCCATCGTTGTCCCTGTTGTACGACTTTGATCTGCGCTCCAGAAAGAATTCGGCGTATACGGAGCTGTCCGAGACCATCGACTTGAGTCAAATCAGCGATTTAAGTTTCTCCAACGAATTGGACCCTCATTGCATCGCAGCGAGTCCACAGCCCCTGGGGTCGCAATACAGCTTGAATGTTGTGGGTCAGAGCTCAATATAAACTTGTACATGAACATATTTTTTCGATTTTCTTCAATAAACTTTACATACAAACAAATTGTGATGACTTATCAACCTGTCGGAAAAATAATGTGGATTTGGAGACATTTTGCTGCGAAAAATCCACATTATTTTCCCGATAGACTGATAATCTTGAATTGCTTTGCATTGTTCATTTTTTTGCTGCTTGCATCGTGCAATAGGTTTTTTTGGGCTGTCGCTCGCTCTCTGGCTTTTTCTGAACTCTCTAAACGCCAAAAACCACTCCAACGACTTTACTAACGAAGTAATGTCTTGCACATTGCTGAAAACGCTGAGATTTTTAAGCCTAAAGTTGCTTGAGATCAAGTATTTTGTGAGGGGCTGTTCACCCACCCCCATCCCCTTGCTCTTCAAAATGCCTTGGCTACAAATCGCGATAACTATCTTGTGCCTGCGAACCTCAAGGATACATAACTTAAGGTGTATACGTGTTGAATTTCAACCTACAGTGACGGACCTGATCCAGTGGCAAAAAACGTAGCATTTTGCATTCGGGAAGCATCAAAAATGTGGCAAAATGCTTCGCTCTCCAAATGAAAAAACTTTGTTTTGAAGGGCACGTCATTTCCCTCACAGAAATCGCGTTTTTGAAACCGGAGTTTCTCACTTGGAAAGGGAGGCATTTTGCCACATTTTTGATGCCTCTCGGATGCAAAATGGTACGTTTTTTGCCATTGGATCAGATCCCCCTGTAAACTAAAAGCCATTTCTTGAGCGTTTGTTTTCAAAGGTTTCGTAGCCTATGACAATTATATTATCTTCCTCTTATTAATGGATTATCTGTCTACTCACATAACAGTGACTTTGGCCATAAAACATTACTTTCCCATGGCGTCACTCGTCCTCGTATTTTCTCCAGCCACTCCGTTCTTACACCCTTTTATACATATATCAAATTGTTACTCTGACGTGCAAAAGAGCAAAGTTCCTTCAGTGACGTTTGACTCATGATATAAAAGACGACAATTATGGGCATAACGACCTGATTATTATCTCATCATGTCACCAAAAAGTCGCCTCAGGCTCCTCCCATAATCACCGGGTCGACCCGGACTCCGGAAGCGCGATATTTTATTAATACAGATGCTATTCGGAGGAAAAACTCCCACAGGAAAAGGGGTCTAGTAACCGGGTTTGTGGTTATTGCCATGGTAATCATTCCGAGATGCCGATAAAATATGCTATTGGGAATTTGCATGAGTGTGAATTCGAATTTAACAGGTGTTTGTTTCATTGGCTTTAAAAAATGATGATTTTTGAGTAGCGGACTGGGGGCTGAAATGGCAGTTGAAGGCTTTGTGAAAATTAATTTTCCGAGATGATAATGCTCTAAGGTTGAGAGCAGTAACTATTAACTTGTCATACGGGAAAGAAGGTATTCGCAGGCGGTGAACTCATCGATTTGAATTTTAGAAAGACAACGCTAGTTAGCGCTTATATTATGATCGCTGAGCACTTAGGCTTAGGCTTGATTTTTTTAGGCTTAGCCTTACCTTGGCTTAGCTTTACTTACTTAGGCTTAGACTTGCTTAGCTTATAGTTACAGTGAGGGACCGGATCCAATGGCAAAAAACGTCTCATTTTGCATCCCGGAAGGGACCAAAATGTCTCCAAACCCTTCCCTTCTCTAAGCTAATGAAGCCCGCTTTGAAAAGCGCGCCCTTTCCTTCAAGGCGGGCTTTTCAAAGTGGAGATTTTTAGCTTATGTGAAGGCTTTAGAGTCATTTTGGTCCCTTCCAGGATGCAAAATGACACGTTTTTTGCCATTGGATCAGGTCCCTCACTGTAGACTTGATTAAGGTTAATTCTTCGTAGGCCTAGGTTCTAATAGTTACCGTAATGTACGGACATCGCTCTTCTTTTCCGAGGGAAGAGAAAGAGGAAATTTTTGTGGAACTTTCGGTCAATTTTTCTCGTCGGCCGGGCGTATTCCGCAGCTGGAAAATGGCTCTTTTTACCAAAGTTGACCTGCTCTATCCACCTGTACTAGTCATTTTTCCAAACGCCGGGGGAAATTCGGACCATTCCCTTTTTAGCAGTTTGCATGAGATCTGCGACTACCGACTTGTGCTTAGGCCGTACCTTCTACGCCCAGTTTTTGCCACTTTAATTCTGCAAAGCGCGGGCTACAAATCTTTCGCCTTTCGTTTCTTGGGAAATTGGATTTTCAATCTGCGTCTAGTTTGTTCAAGATTTAACCGATGCATTTTTAGTCATCATTTAGTAAACGTAAATCTGGCTCTAGCTGCAAGAGCCAAAAAATAATATCTTTCGGTCAGTAAATCATCAAATCAAATTGAAACCAGCTGTTTATCGGTCTGTCGGGAAAATAATGAGTACAATGTCACTGCGCCAATCGTGTCGCTGAAGTGAAAATCAATTTGATTTTGCCGCGACAAAATTAATTTTCTCGGCAGCGATGCGATTTTCAATGCGATATCAGGCTCATTATTTTCTCGACAAACTGATAAAATCCCATCTTCTTTTTACTTTTTCATTATAGCCACTAGTAACTTCTTTGTTTTCATACAAATTCAACAGTCCAAACAATACAGCTTGACATCAATTTTCGGCTAAACTTTTCCCACCCGCGCCTTTCACGTGCGGCTTTACAAATTCGCGAAGGTTTTGAACTTTATGAGTGTAAAATTTCGGACGTCAATTCGAATGTAATTTGCGTTCGCGGCCGCCCCTAATCACCCTCGTTTTTGCCATGGAAACGGACCGGAAGAGCGCGCTATCAATGGGAAATGCTGTAGAGATAAGGTTTCGGCCGGAGTTAATCCCTGTCCTTGGCGATTTAATCGGGATGGTCGTTGATGCGAGAGTTTCAGTCAAATATTAATTTGTCGGGAAAATAATGAGCATTCTGTCTCATAGAATCGCCGCTGAGAAAATAAATTGTGTCGCGGCAAAATCAAATTTCTTTTCACTTCAGCGACGCGATAGGCGCAGCGACATTGTGCTCATTATTTTCCCAACAGACTGATGATAGAAAAAAACTTTTGAAAAGTTAAAGTTTACTACGCTCTTTCAAATATGTGTAAACTCTTTTTTCGCCTTCGCGGGCCATTTTGAACCATTTTGCACTGTCCAGTTGTCTGCCGCGGAAATTTGTTTCGCGGCGACCAGATATTATTTTTTTTTGTTTTTTGGCTAGCCAAAGCCATACTTGACCAGCCTATCCTCACAAACCCTTCATTTGTAGTCTCTCACAACCTGACATGCTCTTAAGTGACCCTGAAACGGTCTTAACATTTCGCAGAAGGATCGAAATTTGAAATTTTTATAAAACGGCAACTATCACCTGCTGTAGAGGTTGAGTGGATCAACTAATAATTCATGTCAGGTCGAAGGATATTATGAATAAAGTTTTTGTGAGGATGGGCTGGCAAGGTATGCTATTCCGGCTAACCAAAAAAAGCAAAAAAATGATTTTGCTTTCCCAAATAAGCCATTTTTCGTCTTTCTCCCCAATCATCGCGGTCCACACACAAAAAACACCTTTAAACCAATTTTAGTCAACCTATTTTTAGCATATTTTTTGTTTTTACATTCCAGTATCATCATTCCAATTTCATATCCAAGATATAAAAATACATCCGCATTCCTGTCCCCTCTCCCTTTCATTAACTCAAAGTGGTTGTTATCGGATTTGCCAACCGAATCTTCTTATCCTTATTCTGTTTCATAATATTTTTTAACTTGTGGTATGCCAAATAAACAGCAGCCTTGCTCGGATGGCATGCCACGGAATCTGAGGATTTCTGCAAAATGGGCTTTTCATCTTCTTGGCAAGGAAAGGGGAGCAAAAACCAGTTTTGAGGAATTAGTCTGCGGCTAATAGCAAAAGATCTTTAATTTTTCGTGCCTTATGCCCGTTTTCTATCTCGATTATGTTTTCTAGCAGCTGCCAAAGATACAATATCAATTTGTCGGGAAAATAGTAATTGGTCGTTGCAGCAAAATGTTTCGCTTCGTCGAAAAAAAGGGTATATTCGAGCACCAAATTTCCAGCTGCGGCTAGCCGTCGCAAAGCGATGATGGACGAGTCCAAGGCGCCACGACCGACCACTATTTTCCCGGCAGACTGATGATCTTGAGTATCCATGATGAAGGAAGAATATGGTGTTATTCAAAGGGCAAGAAGTTTAGACTTTGTATGACTTCTTTTTTACAAAATCATGATGCTAATCCGTTCGCAGAGTCGCTGGAATGATCTTGGCGACATGCGCTGTTCGAAAACAAAAGTTCATTTTGCACTCTGCAATTTCCGGCTTCGTTCACCGTGCAATAGGCTTTTTTTAGATGGTCAGAGTTCGAGTGACAGCCGAAAGAAGCCTATCGCACAAAACGAACTTTTTGTAGGGAAAAAAGAAAAGATTATTAGTAAATATAATACATTAAATAGTCCTTATCCAGAGCTTTCTAACGCTATATTACGCAAGTTTCTTAGCCACATCACCGTTGCATAAAAATAATTTTTTTCAAAAATCAGGTATATTTCAAATACTTTCCATAAATGGGGGCTGTTAATCGCAACGCTAGGAGTTGAAAAAGGTTGGAAGATGTTCAGTTAGCCTCTGAGTTAATTAACCAGCAAAAAGATGTAAATTTTGTCCTTATTTCCATTAGTTTCACCACAATCAAGCTTGTGATACCTAAAATCCGGAAAAAAATCCTAATTTTTTTAATCACAGTCCAATGTGAACTTTTGTTTTCGCACAGTGCATGTCGCCTAAATCACTCCAGCGACTTTACGAACGGACTGGTATCATGATTTCGTTAAAAAAAGAATCATAAAATAATCTAAACTTCTTGCCCTTTGAATAACACCGTAATACCGTATGAAAATCCCTCATCTTTGATATCCAAAGTACTTGCTTCCACAAGTCACACTCATTTTTGTCATTTCATGTCCCTACAGTGGACATCACTACAGATTTGGGCCCTTTATCCATAATCCTTATAGCTCTGTGTTGCTCAAAGTCCGCTAAAAATACAGCGGCGTAAAAATATGTAGTGCAAACCGAAAGATTCGGGCGGACCCGGATGCCTATAAAAGGCACTCACATTCTTCATTCGAAGGTGTAAAGCGAGAGAGCTTAACATTTCGCCCGCCCCTGGGTCGAAGTTTTTACGTGGGAATTTGAGCGTGTTTCGGCGAAACTTTGTTCGAAAATTCGGTTTCTTCACTTTGCAACGCGTTTAATTACCGTTTATGGCATATTCGTTGAATACGAACGTACCGAACCTTGTCTATCAGTCTGTCGGGAAAATAATGAGCACTCTGTCGCGTTGAAAATTGTGTCGCTGAAGTGAGCAATTTGATTTTGCCGCGACACAATTCATTTTTCACGACGGCGATACGATTTTCGCTGCGACAGAGTGCTCATTATTTTCCCGACAGACTGATATAAAAGCAATTTTTTTTTATTTTTATTTATTTTTTTTTTGATTCTCCTTTAGTTTCATCTATTTTTTCAGCCTCACACCACAACAAACGAACAATATGCTCTAGATACCATGTCCTCGAAATGTCGGCCAAGTTCCCCAATCTTCATCCGCCCTTTTGCAATTGCACCACACAAGAGCTTCAGAGCCAGCTGAACTCGGAATGCGGCCACATTTTTCGCCAGATTTTGGCGCAGTTAGACGGTCTCAATGGAGTGTTTGCAACGACCACAGTGGACCCTTTAGTTTTAGCGGAGAAACAAATGAATGCAGACTTGTTCAGCATCGCAATTCTCAGCCTTTTCGCCAGCATCATTTTGTTGCTCATGGTGCGGGCAATCAAGCCGAGCGAGACTTTGGATGATCAGGTAAGCAGGTTGATACTATCAGTCTGTCGGGAAAATAATGAGCACATTGTCGCTGCGATTAGCGTCGCTGAAGTCGAAAGCAATTTGAGTTTTCCGCGTTACATTTTCTCGGCGGCGATGCGATTTTTGATGCGACAGAGTGGGCATTATTTTCCCGACAGATTGATAGTAAATGTCAAAAAAATGCAGAAAATTGTATAAAAAAGTGTCCGTTGAGCAAAATGGGACTTCTGGTGCAGATATTACTTTCGCTCGGCGAAAAAAAAAACATTTCAAAACTTTTTGCCCTGCCTAGCATTTCTGAGGTCGAATTTTGGCAAAAAATGAGACTGTTCGGGGCGCTAGGGTCCGATTGGCTTCAAATTTTGAACTCTTGTTTTGTCTGGTCCCAAAATTAATGACTGAAAATTGTAGCTCGCACTTTGCAAGGGCAGCCGAGATATTCGACAATCTTTGCAGGCGAGAGAAAAGGGAAAATGAAAAAGAAGATGAGAAAAAGGTCCTTTTTTCTCTGACTTCTCCCCTCATTTTCCTTATTCTCTCGTATTCAAAGATCGTTGAATATCTCGGCAGCCTTTGTAAACAATGAGCTACAATTTTCAGTCATTAATGACTTCGGACCAAACAAAAAAATAGTTCAAAATTTGAAGCCAATCGGAGCGTAGGACCCGAACAGTCACATTTTTCGCTTAAAATTTGACCTCAGAAATAAGTATAGTACTAGAGAGGCCAAAAAAGTCTTGACATGTTTCCATGAAGCGGATGATCAAGCGCAAAAATTTTCAGGGCAAGTTTTTCGGGCAATATTGAAGGTAGATTTCAAATTTAGATCCACTCTTGCCAAATTTATTTTGCCATTTTTTCAGGTAACCAATATGTTGACTTCAATGCGGGCCAAATGCGAGTTCGAAGATGATATGCGGCACAAAATGAAGCTAAAACAAGCCAAGGACAGAGCTCAAAAATGGCTGAATGATGCCAAAGCGAAGAGCATCAGCCGAGTTCGGAAGCTCTCATTTCGAGCGGCACGATCTGGCAGTGCTGATGGTAAGTGAAATTTTTGGTTTGATTATTCGGAATTTAGGCGCTGTAAGAAAAGGATTACCCTCTTAAAGACGGATTATTTCTATTAGCGAACCCTTTTCTTGGCATTTTAACTCATGACCACATGACCAAAATTTTCAAAAATATTGCCTTGGTCCCCCCTTACCATATTTATCAGTTTGTCGGGAAAATAATGAGATCTCTGTCGCATCCAAAATGATATCAGAATTAAGTCGAAAAACATCAAAATGCTTTCCACTTCAGCTATACGATTGCAGCGACATTATTTTCCCGACAGACCGCTAAATATGGTAAGGGGGGACCAAGGCAAAGTTTTTAAATCCCAAGTGCGACGCCCATCGTCAGATTTTCTTTAAATTTTGCACACATGTCGGGCATAGACTAGATATCAGTTCCTGAAAGTTTTAGCTCGCGCTTTCCAGGCGCCGTCGAGATATTAAATGATCTTTTCCGCCGAGAGAGTGCGCTAAACGCGGAGAGCTGTCAGAGAGAAACCGAAACAACTTTTTGGCCATAACTTTGGCAGTTTCGCGCGGAAAAATTTGATTTTTTGTAGAAACATTATTCTTTACGGTAGAAATAGGTATGAAATTTTTCGCGCCGAAATTCGGCAAAAAGTCTCAAATTTCCGCTGACTTTCGATCTAAAAATCTCGGTTGTTTCTGCAAAGCGCGAGCTAGGATTCTCGCCTACATTTAAGAAAAAACTGTTCTAAATTTGTGCCAAGTTTCATCAAAATCTGAACGTCGCTCTTGGGGTATTTTTTCCGCTGTAAGCTTATTTTTCCGCCTCCTCTATTCCAGTCCAAAACCCACTTTTCAGCGCCCCGTTCACTCGGTTTGGACAGTCTGTCCGTGAAGAGTCAGCAATTCTTCCCCAATTACAACGACATCGACTACAACAAGCGTGCCGCCAGTTTCCAATTCCTCCCTCAAATTGTGGTGGAGACCGCGAAAGATGCGAAGGAAGCGATCACCATCGAAATCCCCGAACCCTACGCCGAGCCGGGCTCGGAGACGGAGGAGAACTCGCGAAAGACGGACCTGCCCAGCTCGTCGACGCAAAGTCTGGTGGATGATTCGAGTCTCAGCGACGAATCCGTGGCACTGGATCCGTTTTTGGAGTACGTCACCCGGTACTGACCGTGTTTGGGTAAAAGTTCCTTATTTTGGCCACAACTTATAACCTTGCGGAAACTGGTCGGAATTATTAGGCGTAGAAGTATGATCGTGCCGTTTTTCCGGCCCATAATTCCAATCAAAACAAAAAATTTTTACACTAAACCTTATCCGATTTTATATTCTATTATTAATTCAGAGGGGTTTGCACAATGTGGCCAACTTTCGAATCCATCAAAGAAAATTTTTGGCTTTTTTGAAGCCATCTTACTATCAACCAAATTTTCGGCATTGTTGTATTCAACGAAGCGCTGCTGCCACAGGTCGCATTCAATCGGTCGAAACCAGTGATAATCTGAAAGTCCTGCGTCCGGAGAGTGTCGCGGGTGGGGTAAAACGTCCGAACTCGGCGGTTTTAGGATGCCCTTGACCAGTTTTTCAACATGGGGTTTGGCGTCATCATGCAGCAAAATAAAAATTGGTCATACCGACCGTTTTTATCATATCACTTGGTGGATTTGCATCAAGTCTTGTTGACAACGGATGCCAGTAACCGTTTTGTCGGGTTTCAAGACCTCATAGAAAAGAAGATCTTGTTTTTGCCATAATATACAGAGCAACACTTCCTTCACGGTAATGTTGAACTGTGCGGTCGCTTGTGTTTCGGGTTGTCAAAATCGATCCATTGTTCTTCTCTAGTCACTAAACAATGCAAACATGACTTTCTTTCTGTTTGTCCTTCAAAATTTTCTATGTTATCCATGTTGAGTTAGGTCAATCCATATGACACCCAAGTCCCTTCTCTCTGGATCTTTCCCAATTGTTCCAAACTGAGTGAAGTTCCTTTATGCAACACGTGTAACATCACAGCCAGCTTTTCTTGCGCACCGGCATCGTGTTGTTTTCAATAATCTCCATATTCAAATTTCTTATATGGGTTGGAAAATCACGGGATCTGAAACGCTGAACCCTTTTCCGACGGAATTTTTTTCACAGAGCACGACCACAGTAAGCTTCTGTAAGCATTCCATGCGTCAACGGCGCTTTTGCTCACATTACATGTGTAGAACAAAATTTCCCGCAAATGGCATTTTTCTGGGACGAAAGTTGGTCAGCTTTGAAGCTTTATAAAAACCGCTATTCTAAACCTAACCACACGAAGCGTATATCGATAGACAGCGTTTTCAACGTTCTTTCAGGCGATATCAACAGATTCACCAAAACTTTAACTCTACCTGTAAAAAAGGCACAACTAAAAAAACGGCACGGTCATACTTCTACGCCTAATAGCCCAAATTTAGCGTGCACGCTCAATTCATCGGTGTCAATGCCCGGACAGTGGATTTAGTTAGTGAGGTACCTTCTTTTTTACGTACCACCTTACCTTTCAAAAAAACGGCTGCAGCCTGTGATTCTACATTTTATACGATGAAACATGTCCGGATCTAAACTTATTGCCTCAATATGGAACTAAATTCGTCACAGCCTTCGTAGGTACCCTTAAAACTATAGAGCTATTATAATAATTCAGCGCCAGCTAGGTCGAAGCGTTTTTTCCTAACTTCAGTGCCCAAGCTTGGGCGCAGTTCGCGGAGTACATTTGTTGTGGCCAAAATAAGGAACTTTTTCCCGTGTTTGTATTATATTGCGTGACTAATAAGTAGTAAAAAGATTGTAATAAATACGAAACAACCCGTTCCAAAATATCAACTTTATCGCAGTTAAAACAGTACCAAAACGCTGAACACACAACTCGCGGACGCGAAAAAAACAATAAAAAAGGATCTGTTAGACAAAATTGGGGATATTAGCTTTATGAAAAGGAAAGGAAAAGACTTGGAGCAAGGCCATTTTGTATCCGAAAAAACAAAGAAAAAATTTGACAATTTCCAAAAAAAAACTTTCCAGAAAACGAAGAAAAGTTAATTTAAACGGAAGACACTCGACTTATTTGCTTACCCGAGAAAATCATAATCAAAAAGAAAAACAAGGATAAATTGATTAAAAATTGATGAACACAAAATGGATTATCGATATTCGCGACCCCATTCTTCGGATTATAATCGTTTTCACGGTGGAGATAGGGGGATTCGGCGGGGGAAGGGCCCCGGACAAATAACCATGTGCATGAATTCGGGGAGGGGAATTTGTAAGAGCCAAACAGAATTATAACCGAATTTATGTGGAAAAAACAACGTTTCAAGGCCAACAACAAGGGGGGATGGGGCTAGTGTGGGATGGTAATTTAGCAGGGGACGGGGATCCGGGGCCACAAAACTTTTTCGAAAAATTTTAAAAAATCAAAAAAAAAATTTTTCTTTGAAAATTTCCAAATTTCAAAAATTCAAAAAATTTTTTTTTTAAATTTCAAAAAATCAAATTTTTTTTTCCAATTTTCAATTCTCAAAATCCAAAAAAAAAATTGAAAATTTCTAAAATCAAAAAAAAATTTTGAAAATTTCAAAATCCCAAAAATTTTCAAAAAATCTACTGATGGTAATTACTACCCGATACCATCTTTGGGCCGCGGATCCCTGCCTAAAACAACATCCAGTAAATAAAAAAAAAACAAAATAAAAGTTCAGGAAAACGGGTAAAAATGAGAGAGACACATTATACTTTCAACCGCTTCAACAAAACAAGGGATGCAAAGAAATGACAAAAAAATTTCCCAAAATCAGACACTATTCATCAATGTTTGGAGAAAATTCATCAAAACAAAGTGACCAAAGGTTTCCAAAAATTGACAGCGCTCCTCGAATTTCGTCCTTTTTCGCATCCATCGGTTCGAATCTCTTCTTCTCTTCTACGATGGCGGGGCCTCGCTGGCGGATCTGGAGCCGGCCGCCGACGTTGGTTCTGACCCATTCGAGGTGGGGGTATTCGACGATTTCCGCTCCAGCGACGGGATTCTGGCGGTCGAAACGGCGTTCTTGCCTCCGGCAATGGTCCAGCCATCCTCCACCTCTTCGGCCGGGGCGGGTGGGGTCGTTTCCGAGGCCGATTCCTCCTTCTTTTCGGCGAGTTGTTTGTAGAAATTGGCGCCGCCGGTGCGGCCGAGCTTGTTGTTGGCGGCGGCTTGGCGGATGGAGCCCGACTTCGACACCGACATCCCAGTGTTGGCGGAGGCGTTGAAGGCCTTCAACCGCTTGTCCTTGTCCACCGGCTGCTTCTCGTAGGAGGCGCGGCCGCCGTAGCCCGAGCGCGGGTTTCGGTTTCGATCCTTTTCCCTCTCTTTCATCGCATCGTACTAAAAATGAGCTCAAATTTAAAAAATCATCAAAAAATTCAACATTTTTTATATTCACCATGCCACTGATGGCCCAAAATCCAAAAAATCCCCGCTAAATTTACACTATTCCAATCTCCTACCTGTATTCTCTCATTCTTATTCTTTTCCTCTTCCTTTTTGATGTCCTGATGAAGTTGAGCGATCGTTTTCGGGCCCTTCTCTTCCTTCACGAATCCCCCCTTCCTAAAGTCCTCAAAGTTCATGATCATGAACTTGATCTTGCTGGACACGCTGCCTTTGATGGTGGGGAGCCAGTCCATAAAGTTGGCCACGCTGTCGTCCTTCTTCGTCTCACCGCTCAAGTTGTGTTTCTTGAAGTAGGTGCCGGAGACAAATTCGATCAGTTCGATTCCGTATTGCAGGAAGGTCTCTTCTTTTTGGTTCTGCAAACATTCAAAATAAAGTCACAAACATACGAAACCAAAAAAGTTAAAAATAGATTCGTTTCAACATCTAAAAAAATAAAAAAAAATAATAATAAATTTTACTTACCAAGTAACTCTCATAGAGGGCTCCAACGCACGAAACAACAACAACATCGGCGAGAATTCCGGCCACATACAAGTGAGAGATGAATCTGAAAATAAAAAGTTATGAAAAGAAGTAGAGCTCATATGAAAAACATGAAAAAACTCTGGCTAAATTTTTCAACGCCACAAAAAAATTTTTTTAATTAAAATTCCTAAAAAATCTATTGTTACTTTTAGTCAAAAACAAAGTAGTTTTTTTGTGAGACTAAAGTCTTATCGGGACCAAAAACATTCTTTTTTTTTGCAGTATGGGGATTTTTCTGACAAGGAAACTACTTCTATGGGGTATGGAATTACTGGTCGAGTCATATATCAATTCTGTTCAGAATATGTAAAAATTAGCTGCCTAATTTTGGTTTGTAAGGGTGAAAAAACCCTCGGAACTTTTCTCGAAACACCACGCTTTTGACCAAGTTTTTACCAAATAAAAAGCTTGTTTTTGAGCTAAAGTAAACTCTGGTATCTTTACCAGCCTCAAAATATCAAATTTAATTTATACTACACCTTAATTAGTAGTTCCAATGTAAAAAAGGCGCATTTTCATGGTGTTGCGAGAAAAGTTCAGAGGGGTTTTTCACCCTTACAAACCAAAATTTGGCAGCTAATTTTTACATATTCTGAATCAGAAAAATTTGGCGAATTTTTTGATATATGACTCGACCTGTAACTCCATACCCCATAGAAGTACTTTCCTCGTGATATAAGGGAAGACCAAGTAAAATTTCGGTGTTCTAACGAAAAATAAATCAAAATTTGGATAAAAAAGGCTTTATGGAAACTCGACAGAAGGAAATTGGACAGCGTATGGAGATCGAAAAGGGGAAACTGGTCAGAGGGGAACTCGATAGATTTTTTCAATGCAATCTCTATTAGATTTTCTCTTATCAAGCCATTATTTTTTGCAGTGAAAAAAATCTGTCGAGTTTCCTTCTGACCAGTTTCCTCCTATCCGATTTCCATACTCTGTTCAATTTCATTCTGTCGAGTTTCAATGAAGCCATTTTTATCCAATTTTTTCTTTATTTTACGTTATAACACTCAAATTTTATTCAATCTCCCTTATATCAACAAAAATCCGCATACTCCTCAAAAAATATTTTTAGTCCCGATAAGACCTCAGTCTCACAAAAAAAGCGACTTTTTTTGTTTTTTGACTAGTAGATTTTTTAGGAATTTTAACTAAAAATATTTTTTTGTGGCGTTGCATTTTTGGTCCATCCTTACCCCACCCAAACCTCCCCAAGTCCTGATAACACCTTATTCCCACAAAAAAACCTTCAAACAATCAAAACTCCACCCAAACTTACTTGATATTTCCCAGCAATACTCGTTTCTCCTTGGCTTCCAACAGGTCTAACCTCTCTTGGATATCCTGCCTTTGTTTTGGCGTCGCATCCTCCGGGAGTTGACTCAATTCATTTCGGACTTCCGCAATCAGTTGTTGGATCTCTCCGGAGCCTTGGAAGGTCGATTGGGCGCGTTGAATCAATGCTCGGCAGAACGAGTCCTTCCCCTTTCCAGTGGCGCTGATTTGCGCCTTGCACAGGTTCGTGTAGAGGGTGCAGAACTTCGGTTCTTCCACGGCCTTATCGAACACCAAATCGATGGCAATCTTCTGCATTTTGAGGTCCGAATCCACATTCAAGTTGAGGAATTCGTCCTTCAAGTCCTCGTACGTGGACGGAGTGATCTTGTTGAATATCGAGCGGACTTCCTTTCTGAATTTCTCGTACTTCAGCTCCTCATCGTCAATGGAGCCGGTCTCTCGTCTCTTCGGTTTCCATGCATTCTCCGCCTTCCTTAGGTTGTCCAGCGGCTGTGGAGGGGGGTTCCTGGCGGTTCGGTCGAGACTGGCGCGGCCTGTGATCGATCCCTTCTTGCGGGCGTTCCTTGTGTTCTCCGAGTGTCGGCCCGCGTATGGGACTCGTTTGAGGCCGCCCGAGCCAAGTCCGCCCGCGTTCCACTGAGGGTTAAAGTTGTACACGCCGGGATGGCCTCCGCCGCTGAATTTGGGTCGATTCTGGTTGGCCTGGGGCATTCCTTCAATGTGGAGTTCTCTTTCCTTGAGCATGCCCTCATCGCAAGGGGTTGGGGTCTTCTTGTAGATCTAAAAAAGAACGTCAAAGTCATGTCTAATATCAAGTACAATATCCCAAATCTTTTTCAATCTTCATTCAAATCACTTACATTCACAACTTCCCGCACAAAGTAGATCAATTCACTGCTATATTCCTTCCTTTCAATGTTCTCCGCCTCCTTCTGGTATAGCTCCTCGGCCTTGGCCTGGAGAGCCAGCAATTTTTCGATATTTTCGGCTTCCTTATCCGGGGTATCCACTCTCGACGCTCCATTCTCCTCCTGGATTCCATTAGGTTCGCTTATATCGGTACCATTCGTTGCCTAAACCCAGAATACTAATATAATCCATGAAAATCTTACCGGTTCCGAACTGTCGCGTTCCCTTATCACTGGCGGCCTGTAGAAGCTTCTGGGTTTGTCCTCGACCTCGTCCTTCGTTTCGTCGGCCACTGGTTCCTCTACGACTTTCTCCACTTCAGGAGTGGGCTGTTTTTCCACGACTGGCTCGGGCTGGGATTCCACAACGGGGGTTGGCGTCTTTGGCGGCGCTTCCTCCTTCCGTTCGGGCTCCGGCTTCACCGCCGCCGGCTTGGCGGGGCTTGGCTGTGGCGAAGGTCGTCGGGGTTGTGCGGCCGCCTTGTTCTCGCCGTCGTAGGCGAGATTCATGACTGCTTGGTTGAATTTGCTGACCACCTCGTTCTTCTTTTGATCCTTCAGCTGTTCGGGGGTGAGTTGAGGAGTTGGGACACGAGCGGCTGAAAACATGAGAGGTTATTTCATCAAGGACAGCCTAAATTTCCGTTACAGTAAAGGACCTGATCCAGTAGCAAAAAATGTACCATTTTGCATCCGGAAAGTATCAAAAATGTGGCAAAATGCTTCCCTCTCCAAGTGAAAAAACTCAGATTTCAATCCTCTCTTTTTGTGAGGGCCCTTCAAAACAAAGTTTTTCTACTTGGAAATGGAGGTATTTTGACACGTTTTTGATACTTCCCGGATGCAAAATGGTACTTTTTTTGCCATTGGATCAGGTCCGCCACTGTACATCGCTCCAAATTTCAAAAAATTCTCAAAAATTCAAAAATCCTCTAGTACAATATAAAAAATTTTCAAAATCCAATTTTCCCCCCTCAAACTCACTCGTCGAGTCCTTATCCTTTTCATCCCGTTCCACAAAGTCCTTGTTGATCACATTTTTGGTGGTGGGATCCACAATCAACAACACGCGTTTCTTCTTTTCCTCTCGGGGCGGCTGAACCGGCGCTTGGCCCGGCATTTCGGCGGGGATCTGGCTGTACACCGGGCCCGGTTGCATGGGGCTCGAGTAGATGCTGTGGTACTGTGGCTGGGCGTACGCGTACGGAGCGCTCTGATAGTAAGCGGGCGGAATGTCCTGGGAATACATGTAGTTGCTGGCCGGGAAGTTTGATTGTTGGACGTTGACGAGGACGGACCCGTTCGGAGCGCGCTGATGACTGACCTGACTGTCCGGTTGGCAAAAAATCGCCGGCTGATTCCTAAAGCATCAAAATATACAGTGACGGATCTGATCCAGTGGCAAAAAACGTATCATTTTGCATCCGGGAAGTGTCAAAAATGTGGCAAAATGCTTCCCTCTCCAAGTGAAAAACTCCGATTTCAAAATCGCGCCCTTCAAAACGAAGTTTTTTCGCTTGGAGAGGGAAGCATTTTGCCACACTTTTGATACTTCCCGGATGCAAAATGATACGTTTTTTGCCACTGGATCAGATCCCCCATTGTAGATCTCAACCCCTCAAAAAATTCTTCCTATGCTATATTCCACCTCATAACAACAAAAAAAAATCTACTTCTCATGATTCTCTGGTCGATCCACCATCGCTACCGTCAAAAAACGCAATTCTTATAGCAAAATCCGACCGCCAAATAAGAAGAGCAACAGGTAAAATTAAGTATAATCAAACGAAACTCATCGCAGCTCCGCTCTTTTGATCAAAGCTCTCCGGGTTTCGCAATTCTCGAACTTTTTTCTTGTTTTTCCTAGCTCTCGAAGAGAACTAAAAGGCGAAAACAGTAAAAAAAGCGTTAAAGTTGAGACTCTTATCAAGGATAATGTCGAGAAAGAAAGTGGGGTTAGTCAGAGGCTCTTCGGTAAACCATTGCGTCCTGTTTTTTATCATCAAAAATCAAACACTATGAATGTTCAACGGACAGGATTTTGGGAAAAAAACAACTAATATTTCTCCGATATTATACTTGTGCCTTTCTGAACTAAATGAGCTAAAAACCACAGAAATTTTGCGCATGGCGGATGCAACAGCACCTCAATAAATCCTCTTGTAATCAACAACCTTATATTCTGCCTAAAAACCGAAAAAAAAGAACAAAATACAACTTACCATTGCTGTTGCATTACATTTTGATGGGTGGGGACCTGAGGCCGCTGGTTGAGATGGGCCTGCTGGGCCGTAAAATGACTGCTCATGTGTTGAAAACCCGAGTGTCTACAACAAATGTCGCGTTATAACAAAACCGAAACGTGGATCGGTTCTGTTAAAAAAAAAGAGCTTTTGGGAGAGAGCTGTTTTTGGTGTAAAAACCAAAAAATTAGCAAAGTTTGAGGGAATAAAGTGTCGTTTTCCCTGAAAAACAACTTATAATTATATCAAACAACAAACCGTAATCGATGACGCCGCGAAACTTCGGGAAAATTTTTAAAAAACAAAGTTGGTGTGGTATGGATAAAATTAGGCGGAATTGTGATCGGAACCAGAAAAAAAGATTCCGAAAAATTGAACAAAGAACGAACAGTCATTGCGAAATCTAAACAAGTCGGAAACAAGACAAACCGTAGACAAAAACTTGCAAATTCTGATTCATCCAAATTTTGGTCATGCATAAGATCAAAAAAGCTGTCAAATTAATGCAAACAGCCCCATAATTTCAGAACCCCATCAGAAAAAACTTGACAATGTCAGTATCGCTCTGCTCAACATAAAAATTAAAAAAAAAATTACCTTGTAGTAGGTCAAAACAAGTCTCAAGTCTACCTCAAAAAGAAATCCCTAAAAAACATTTTCTTTTGACTTCTTAAAATTCTCGTTATTACCATCACAACGAATGGAAATGCAACCTCATAAAACCATCACCACCTATCAATCACCCCGTTTTTCTCTGTAAAAATATCAAAATATTGACCATGGTCCGAGAGACCTCAACAAAAGACGAAACCCCCCAATTCGCAATAAACGCGAACTAGAAGCGTAAATCAATTGTCAAAAAGTCAAATAAATGTGGGAATTCACGTGAAGAAACTCAAAGCTTCATTCGCGATATTATCCATGGTCTCGGATAAATTCTCGCGAAATTCCAGAGTCTTTTCTATAAATTCGGGGTGCAAAAGCGGTGAGTAAGATTGATGAAAGGATTTACAAAAGCTTTTTCTAGAACAACACGCGATTTCACAAGAATTTGAACATTTCCCACTCATAAACAAGGCCAGTCTGAGGAATTAGGCCAAAATGATGGGGAATCCGCGGAATTCGTGTCCAATTTCCCCTAAAAACAGAAAAGAAAAACGATTCTCCAAAAGACATACCTTGTAAAGCGGGGTGGTGTTGAAGAAACCGACCGTGTTATTACTAATTTCGGACGAATTCGGCCGAAAAACACTAAAATTCCAGGCCCTTCCACCAAAAAATTGCTTGTTCTGCGTCCAATCTCGCCCCGTCGGTTAGGGTAAAATGAATTCAGGAACAAGAAGAGAGTCGGCTCTGCTCGTGTCCGCCGTCTCCACGCCGAACGCGCTCTCTCGGCGCCCGGAGCGCGGCCCCGTCTCTGGGGAGCGGGGACGCACGGTGCGGCGCGCTGCTTCTCTGCCGCCGCTAGACGGTCCGAACGCAGTGAACGAGTCGGCGGGGCTGGTCCGAGACGTCGAGCAGTTCAGACAGACGGTTTTCATAATAGAGCGGGGAAGGGGATCCGGTCCGGTCAATCGGGATTAAGGCTGGGGAAGGAGAAGGTTGCACGGTGCGGAGTCCCGGGGAAAACGTCGCACTGTGCGCTGGAAACAAGTTGTGACTTCTTCGCCGCAGGGTCACCCGCAACTTCGCCCTCCCCCATCGACAGTTTCGATGGACGAAACGCGATCAAAAATTGATAACCTTCATTTCAGACCAAAATTTATCTAGAAACATCTACACCTTGTGTTAGACCAAAAAATAAGTTGTGAAAGAACTCAACGCTCAAAAAACACCTTGGAATACAGTAAACACCCCTTTAGGACAACAAAGACCAGCCGGCTCCACGGGTTTCGGGACGCACCCTCGCCAAACGGATAGATTTTGCGAGGAACTTTGAAATTCCATGGGAAGGCCGGAGGGCACGCTGTATAGACACGTCAAAGGCCATGAAAACGACCTTTATACGCACTTCGGACCTGCAGATTGCACGCACAGCAAATTCCCGAAGAAATCAGGCAGTTAATACGGAATGCCAAGGATTTCTGTCAGGCGTTTGTTTTCGTGGCGGGACTCAGGGAAAGTTGCGTGAAACTGGGGAAACGAAAGATATTGTCCGAAATAGCAAAATTCAAGTCTCCAGTGACTTATAAAATAAAGTCAAAATAAAAAACATGCATCATTTATACTGTTTTTGGCTCCAATTCACTTTATTGATTAAATTTCAACGTCATATTGTCACGAATCAATTCATTGGCCTTATTCCGCGACTCAGTCTCTTTAAACTCCTCCGCAAACACAATATAACTTGTAAAAACAATAGTGAGGAGCAACAGAATGTTCAGAGCACAGGCGGTAAAGCAAGCAGCAGCAACTTTGATATCAATTATAGCTTTCAGCTCCTTGATGATTGGTCGAGACAAGTTGATGCCAAACGAATGCAAGACTCTTGCAGCCATATGATAGCGATCCGTTGGCAAATACAACGTGAGTTGCTCGATGATTTGGTCAGCAGTTCCTTCTTTTGAGGCCGCGGCTTTTTCATAAATTTCCTTGCATCGAAGAACGGCGTCCAGTTGAGTGAGAATGTGACCAAGCTGAAATTTAATTTGTGAATCATAAAATAAAAAGCTGTGTACAGCTAAACAAGGTATCTGGAAGTTTAATTTTTACATTCCGGCCCACTTGCAAAAAAAGCAGTAGACGGAAACCTTTCCTATTTGGAAACTGATACTTACCGTAATATAGATTGCAATGAACTGAAAAAATCGAGGGCTATAGTAGGCGCCATCCGGTTTGCTGGTAATCAGGGCAAACGACAGAAGAACTCCCAATGTTTTGAAGTCGGTAAAGAGCTCCCAGACAAGGTAGTGACACTGAAATTGAAAGTTCAAGCTGCATTGCCATTATAACACCGCTTTCTTGAAATATCTGCTAAAATAAACTTACACAGCCAATAATCAAAGCCTGCTTTGGAGAGGCAAAGGTTTGAACTTTCACGGGTTTGGGCGGCATTTTTTGGAAATTATTTGGTGTGAGAGATGTAAATACAATAGGAAGCGTCTCTGCGGTTAATTTTCTGCCAAAATGACGCCATGAGAGCAGCAGATGGATGGAAAAGCCGTCATGCTGCAATGCAGAAATTTTTGAAATTGAACTTAAAAATGCTTAGACATTCAAGGAAAACTATGCGAATAACGTTGCCATTTTTCGAGCTAGAAGAACGAAACTTGGTAGGACTTACGAGCATATTGAATCATTCGGCTGGCGGATTTGTTTGTAGATGCCCTAAGGGCCGAATTATACTTAAAGTACCAAAAAAAAGCACTGTGATGTAAGTAGCGAGTAATAACTCAGCTCGTTACACATCGAATAAGAAGAGATTTGGCTGTCTTGTAGAAAATCGAATTTGACACACAGAGACTGAAAAAAATTTGTCAATGCAACTTGCACTTTTGGGTTGCAGAGGTTTTAAGAATAAAGTTTTTTCAATGGTCATTGCGAAGTTTATGCGATGGGGTTCCTTACGATATTTATATTTTCTGAAAGCCGGCTTTTTACTCTACTACCATGCCAAATTTTAGCCTTCTAGCTCAAACGGCTAGCGAGATATGGAGAGTGAAAGCAAGCGCATTCCGAAAAAAATAGAGCAAGTCGCGGAGATCGGTTGTGTCCATAAAGTACAGAATGCCGTGCGGCAATGATGCGACTTTTGATGCGATAGAATGTTCATTATTTTCCCGACAAACTTGTATTTGAGCACACTATTGAGCCTAGCTGAGTGTTCAGTGACGGACCCGATCCAATGGCAAAGAACTTATAATTTTGCACCCGGGAAGTATCAAAAATGTGGCAAAATACCTCCCACTATAACAAAAAAAAAATCTTCCGGTTTGAAGGACGCGCCCTTTCCTTCACAAAAAGAGCGGGCGCGCTTTTAAAATCGGAGTTTTTTTTTTGTTATAGTGGGAGGTATTTTGCCACATTTTTGATACTTCCCGGATGCAGAATGGTACGTTTTTCGCCGCTGGATCAGGTCGCCACTGTACGATAGATGAAAATTTAAATCTGTTTGTCCTACATAAGGCATCATAAATATTTATTCAGGGTCATGTTCGTATAACTTATGTATAGAATTCTCTGTACTGGAAATATTATAATTTTACATGTAATACCGGTTGGGCGGCGATCCGTCTCGTTGACTGCGTAGGTCTTTGTACTTCACTGTGATGTCCGTCAAATGCCTGTTGAGGTTTTCGATGAGTTGGTTGAGACTGGCGCTCTCTTGAATCTTCTCCTCGTGCTCTTCCACTAACGCGGAGTACTGGAAATGAGGATATTTGAGGTGAAAATGAATGATAATTGAAGGGAAATCAATCTAAAATGCGAGATTTTTTACCTTCTCCTTCAGATTGGTGTAGGAATCGGTCCGTTGAGTGGATTGCAGCTCTTTTTCCTGTCGTAAATTCTCGGTTTCGCTTTCCATTTCATTGATTCTGAAGGGAAGTCGTTAAATGTTGGAAAAGCAGAATATTTATTGTAATTACCGTAGTAAAATTGGACTTACTGTTTGATCAACCTGACATTCTCATTACACATGCGCTCTCTCAGCTCATTGGCTGCGCGTATCTGTTCGGCATAGCTTTTCTCGCTTTCTTCGAACCGCGCTTTCACCTCGTCATGTAGATGTCTAAGCTCGTCCAATTTCTTTTCAGTTTCATGGAGCTGAGCAGTGGTTCGAGAGTGCTCTTGCAACAGCAAATCATGCCTGGAAAAAGAGTTTTCATTATATTTCAATTGGTTTGAAAAATGATGACTATTGTAAAGAGTATAGTAATAGTCGGTTAGAAAAGTCTCTGGGGTGATTTTGGCAATATTTATTGTTCACTTTGAGCAATTTCTAAGTCTATCAAGCCTAGACATAAGCGAGCTAAAGCCTTAGCAAGCCTGTTTTTCAACATCCACTAGGTCACCAGTATTGATTGATCCGCGGAGAAAGTCACCTCCCTTGTAAGTAGTCTGTAAGTGTAAGCAAAAGGCAGGAAATGCGCTGGATTGAATTATAAGCAGCCTTATTTGTCCGTCCGGAATGTCACCGGACTGAAATTGGTGATTCCTGGCTTTTTACACCTTACAATAGGCTTTTTAGGGCTGTCGCTCAAACTTTTTTTCAGTCAGTACAAACGCCAAAAATCCCTCCAGCGACTTTGCAAACCGACTACAATATCGTAAAGTGAACTTACTGCTGTTGGAACTCCTTCAGTTCCTGGCAAACTCGCTCAAATTCGACATGGACTGATTGTAACTTGGCGTTACTTGTATTCCTCAGCTCCTCCAGCTCATTCGTCAAGCTTTTGACTTTGTTAGTCATGTTCTCCTGTTTCGAGGCCATCTCACGGAACAATTTCAGCTCATCCTCCAAGCTTTCGACTTGATCTTTCCACTTTTTGACCTCTTTTTTACAATCTTCATGGTCTCCTTGGCTAAAATTTAATGATAATATCTAAGGAAGAAACGCCTGAAAGGTTCAAAAAAGTCATCATTTCTTACCCATGGAGCTCCTGATTCACGGTATCCACCCGTTTGCGCAAAGCCTCAATTATGGCGTCCTTGCCGACCAAAATCGCTGACAACTCGCTGAACTGTTTTTCCAGTTCGCTCTTCGGGAGTTCGAAGCCAGTCGTGAGATCGTCGTTGCTAACACGGTAATCTGCGACCTTTCTCCGGAAGGCTCGTAGCCTCTCTCGCGGACTTACCGAGCCGGGCGATGGAGGTGAAGGAGGCGCAATATAGGTCATGTCTAGAAGAGATAGAGGCAATCTTATTTGAGTACGTACAAATTGGAAAATAAGATGTGAGAAAAAGAGAGCTCTTACCATTATAATTCTGATCCATGAGCTTCTGGACGGTTGTGACGGCTTTTTCAAATTGTTTTGAGGCATTTTCATAGCTGTCGAAGGGGAAACTACTTTTGCCACCTGAAATGACAATCAAAATTGATGTTTTATTCGTTGAAGAGGCTAATGCATTAGATAATATTGTAGAAGCAGCAATGTTGTACAAGACTGTCCAAAGACCCGATAAAAAATAAATTTTTAATAGATATTATAGCAAGGCTCTGCAATGATTGAGAATGTATCAGAAGAGCTTGGCCAACAACAGTGGCAAAAAAGGAAGCATCAAAAAATGTGGCAATAAACACAGGTTTCAAAAACGCGCCCGCTTTTATTGTGAGGGAAAAGGACGCGCCCTTCAAAACAAAGTTTTTTCACTTGGAGAGGGAAGCATTTTGCCACATTTTTGATACCTCCCGGATGCAAAACGGTGCGTTTTTTGCCATTGGATCATGTCCACTGTGCGTTGCCTTTGGCCTATTCTTATTTACAGAATGTCTCAATTAGTGCACCATAAGCCCCATTTTGCTCAACTAACACTTTCATAAAACTTTCTGTGTTTTTTGACATTTTCTATCAGTCTGTCGAGAAAATAACGAGCCCTCTGTAGCATCGAAAATCGCATCGCCACCGAGAAAATGAATTGTGTCGCAGCTGTGCACAGCAAAATATCAGTCTGTCGGGAAAATAACGGCGGATGGTCGCATCAAAATGTCTCGCCTCGCCGCTATCGCGCACCAAATTCCCAGCCGCGGCTAAGTCGCAAAGCGATGATGGGCGATTCCGAGGCGCGACAATCCGCCGTTATTTTCCCGACAGACTGATAAAATTGCTTTTCACTTCAGCGACACGATTGGCGCAGCGACATTATTCTCATTATTTTCCCGACAGACTGATATTGAATCTCTTGATTTGGTCATCTGAAAACCCAACGATGCAAACCACTTACTCAACTGAACCTGGAAGGCATCAGTTTCCTGCCAGCCCTCGGCCGGCGGATGAAAGGCAACGCCATCAAATCGCAGCGCTCTTTTCGCTCCTTTCAACGTCTTATACGAAACGCCGACCGCTCCGGGGAATGCGGATTGAAGCGAGGTTAACGGCAACACCTGGTTGTCGGTTAGTTCGAGGTCACAGGGCTCAACTTCCAGTCGAATATACATCCTCGCATACTAGGCTACGGTAGTTTACACCGCCGCAAAATCGGGATTACACTGTGTCGATGGGGGAGTGTAAAATTGAAGGCAAAAACAGCTGAAAACAGGGGTTGATATCACGTGAATTTCAAATAATTTTACCACTTTTTTTGCGGAAATGTACCGTAAAAGAGTTGTAAAAACAAAACTGTTCGCAGAATGATACCCGAAAACACTTGAAATGAAGCTAAAATGGGTGGAAAAACAGGGTTAATGAATGTGATAAGCAAGTTGTTTGTGATCGATTAACGAAATGATACCGTAAACAAGAAGGGATTGTAACAATGATGTAGTTCGTTTCTTAATTAAGATGATCGATTATGTGGAATATTAAGACAAAATTTAATAAAAAAAAGGTTCTTTCAGGGTGGGCGAAAAGAGGGGGGATTGATTCGTGACGCTGTTTCCAGGGAACCACAAGGAAAAAGAGGGAAAAAATAGAGGCAGAGCCGAGTCAAGGTCGGGATGAAACGCTATGGGAAAGCGTAAATTGAGTGGACATTGAAAAATTTAATCAAAATTCCATACATGGATTTACTGTGGCTATTTGTTCGTCGGGAAAATAATGAGCACTCTGTCGCATCCAAAATCGCATCGCTGCCGAGAAAGTGAATTGTGTCGCGGCAAAATCAAATTGCTTTTCACTTCAGCGACGCAATTGGCGCAGCGACGTTATGGTCATTATTTTCCAGACAGACTGATATTGAATTCCTTGATTTTGGCATCTGCTAACCCTGCAATGCAAATCACTTGCTCAGCAGGACCTGGAAGGTCTGTCTGTCGGGAAAATAATGAGCCCTCTGTCGCATCCAAAATCGCATCGCCGCCGAGAAAATGAATTGTGTCGCGGCAAAATCGATTTTTTTCACTTCAGCGACGCAACTGGTGCAGCGACGTTATGGCCATTATTTTCCAGACAGTCTGATTTTGCGGCCGCAAAATCTTTGAAGTGAATTTTGCGACATGCACTGTGCGAAAACAAAAATTCACTTTGCACCGTGCAATAGTCTTTTTTGGGCTATCCTTTCCGCCCTGACTTTTGTCGCACAGTGCATGCGCGAAAAATCACTCCATCGGCTTTACGGATCCTTTTTCACAGATCAAAATTGAAAAAGCGGCCCGCACTGTGCGAATGATTCGGTACGGCGACGCAGCGCACTGTCCCTTTTTTTGCACTGTGCGCGAGTTTTGAACCATTTTGCACTGTGCCATTTCGCACCACCGCGCTCGGAAATTGCACAGTGCAAAGTGTCAGACGCTCGGTGCGAAATGGGGTTTTTTACCCGGTGCAGCCACGCGACAAAAAGCATGGTACTTTTAAAAGAGTGTAGTATCAGTCTGTCGGGAAAATAATGAGCCCTCTGTGGGAGTGAAAATCGCATCGCTGCCGAGAAAATGAATTGTGTCGCGGCAAAATCAAATTGCTTTTCACTTCAGCGATGCGATTGGCGCAGCGACATTCTGCCCATTATTTTCCCGACAGGCTAATCTTCAAATTTTTTTTCAAACAAGCGATTACGAAAGTGGTGACAATCGTAGAAAAAAAAATGTTTTTCTGTAAGTACGGAAAAGATTGCGGGAGCACCAAAAACCTCCAACTGATAATCACCTCAACGAACGCAGGAATGCTTGCAAAAAGCTGTTTTTTGAAGGCACACGTCCAAATCATGATAATCACAAACTCTCCCAGAACATAAACGAACCGCTTTATAGTCGATTCAAAAATAAATTTTGCAATCAACTTTGGGGCTGATAAGTAATCGAGATGACAGTTTTGGAACACGTTGCTTTTGTGGAGTATGATGTCTTTGAAAATGTATTGTTGATCCAGAAAATGCCATTGGTCCTTTTCTTCAAGTTTCACTTGCTTGGCTTGTTCTTTAATTGGTGTTGTCTTTCCCGTCATTCTGTTGTATTCGTAGACTTGGCCGTCGATGATTACATTCATTGTAGGTCCACAATTTTCTTCTTTTGCAGTTTCCTTTGAACGGTGGAGAATTTGCGTGTGACGATTTAGGAACAATGTGGTGTTGTATTGGTTGATCCTGATGGGTATTACGCATTCGTCGGGACTAGGTTTGAATTGGTACTCCTTCTTGTTCAGACTGTGGCACATCTCAACTTCAACGATATCGTCGCTCAAACGGTTGGCTACAATGTTCGTCCGGTTCAGCAGTCTCTGCATAGTAACAGTCGGATTGATGGATATGACTTCTCGAATCCTCGTTGAATGTTCGCGCAGCATAGCACACATCGCTCTTGCCAGATGTCGCATTTGCTTGAGGGTGTAGTATTCGGCGAACTGCAAATCCGACGATTCCTCATCGGATACATCCAAATTTGCTTGTCGTGACCATCTTGGCTTCATCTTGGCGAGGAATTTGTCAATGGTTTCCTCGTCGTATCCTTTTGCCATCATGTCCTCCTTGGTTGCTCCCCTTAGCAACTCCATTAAACCAAACATCTGTGAAGGATTTCCAGATCCTTTTCCAGTTGTAGTTGTACGAGTTGTCTTCGTTGTCGCTGTCGTTGTAGTTCTTCGCGGAGGTTCTGTTCGTATTGGGGTTGTCCGTGTAGTCGTCGGTCGACTTGTTGGCCGAAGTGTAGTTGTTGGCATTGTAGGTAGATCCTTTGGCTGGATAAATGGCGCCGGCGTTGGTAAGTCAGGAGTCTCGTCTTGAATTCCACGAATTTTGATTGGGGGACCGATACGAATTCCAAGTCCTTGATCTGTTGGGATTATTGTTTGATTGCAATCTGATTTTGTAATGGTGGTGTTGAATGTGACCATGGCGTGCAGATCTTCGATCACGGCAGACTTATCGGTGACCACGCCAACTCCTTGATAAGCCTTTACAAATTCACACCTTTGCGTTTGGTTGACTTTCCACACGAATATTTCGTTTTCCTTGGTACGGCATATTCCAGCGGAATAAGTGCAGCCAGATAGGTCTCCCATTGCCGACGTTGCTGATGGGCTCCCGTAGTGGGCGAAAACCTTTGTTTCCAGCAGGAGGCAGTTTCTCTTGACCTCCACTTTTTCTCCATTTAAGAAGGTCATGATTCTGTTTGGTGGGTCGATGCTAACTGTGTTGTGTGTCCGGTAAATCGACTTCCCTTTTACTAATTCTCCATGTTTGCATTTTCTTTCCACAATCATCTTCTTACATTCTTCTTCTGATAGCACTTCGGGTGGGTTTTGGTCTTCTCGAACTTCTGGGACGCCGTTCAACAGCGTCTGTTGCCTTACGGTCGTTGCCTCCAAGCGACATATATAGGCCGGAGAATGAAATTCGATTGTGTTTCTTTTGTAGAGTTCTATCCGTCTTGGCTTCCCAACGTCGCTGTTGACGGACAAGTCGTAATCACAACTGGCCACATCTGGCATCCTCCATAGAACTCGGGTCTTCCCGAGACACAACTTGGGCTGATTCGTTTGACCATTGACGCCTCCAATGACCAATGTTAACAACATTAATAGAGGGGTGTAGTCGATTAATTTGTTTCGCCTTGGACGTCCACATCTAGCCAGAACAGGTTGTTTTTGCTCTCTCTCCAGGTCCTCCTTCGTCTTGTAGTCCAATTCTTCTCCTTCAACTTCTCCTCCTATTTCTAATGGATGTAATAAATTGACTGCTCGGATTGCAGTCTTCCGATTAGGCAGAATGATCTCGCAGTTTCTCGTGATCCCATCTTTGGATTTGATTGCTCTTTTGATCCTGGCCATTTTCCATTCTCCTCTCGGTTGTTCTGGCTCTTCCAGGATCACCAGTTCTCCTGGTTTCGGAATGAGAGTTTGCTTCTCTTGATAGTTTCCACGATCGGCCAATGTGTCCAAGTATTCCTTTCTCCATCGTGCCCAAAACTTGTCAAGCCTTTCATTGAACTTGTCGTAAAGTTGTCGCAGCTCATTGATTTTGTATGCCTTTATCACGAAGTCTGGATCGCTTGATTCGTTCGCTGTATCACCATTTTCATCGTACCTGGTTCCGTTTGGTCGTAAGAAGTCCACCGGTCGCAGGGCTTCAAAGCTGTCGTTATCGTCGTATAACGGAAGCAGAGGACGATTGTTAAGAGTTCCTTCAATTGCGATGACAAGGGTTTCCAGTTCTTTATATGAAGGTCGTGATCGTCCCAGGGTCCGTTTGATTCCTTCTTTTAGACTTCTGTTCAATCTCTCATATGTCGCTCCGCGCCATGGAGCGTTAGGTGTGGTGTGCGTCCATGTGATGTTTTGAAGGTGTCCATATTTTTCCAAAAACATTTTTCGTCCAGCGACAAAGTAGGTGGCGTTGTCGCTAAGGATATATCGCGGAACTCCTCTACGAGCGCAGAATTTGGTCATCGCATTAAGAATGTCTTCTGTCTTAATGGAGTCCGTAAGCTCCAAATGTACTGACCTGGTACGAAGACAGGTCAGTAACAGTACGTATGCTGGTCCATCCTTTGTTTGTAATGGTCCACAGATGTCCAGTCCCGTTGATTCGAATGGTGTTCCGGTAGTTGTTCTGCTTGTTGGTAGTGGGGGAAACATTGGAGTTTCGTAAGGACGAGTGTTGTAGATGCGACATCGGATGCACCTCTTAACCATTGTTTTGACATGCCGGTAAGAGATGTAGAAATTTTCTCTTATTAGCGATGTTACAGCCAACGCCGATTGGTGGTGGTTATTTTCATGATGGTATTGAACGATCTTTTGGGCTAGCGGACTCTCCACAGGTAGCCAGATGGGGTTCTTTGCATTTTCCGTTCGTTCTGCGTTCGCCAGTCTGGTGTCCACTCGCCACGTGCCAATGTCATCCTTGTAGAGACGTCGTCTCGTTTGAATTTTGGGGTGGGGGGATAGATTTCTTGCTCGGCTCTGACGAGCCGCCTTCCCGCCTCTTGAGGAGTTTCTGGTATTGGCGTACGACCTGGGCGGCATTTGTTGATGAAGCAGATGACATGTTTGGTCACATTGATCAGCTTCTTCCAATTCATGTCTTTTGTGATGAGACTGGCTGGTTCGTCGGATTTCGCGGTAGCTGTTGTCGTCGTCTCGGTGGGAACGTCTGTGAGTTTTGGGACAACCATTGTTGAAGGCCATTCCGTGATGTCCTGTAGTAGAAATTCCGGTCCTTTCCACCATAATTCGTTGTGCATAAGCTCAGTTACTTTTGCTCCGCGACTTGCAATGTCAGCGGGATTGAGTTTTCCATCGATAAAGCGAAATTCCATCTCCTTTCTGTAGCTTTGAAGTTCGCGTACTCTGTTTCTGACATAGATGGTTTGATCGTCTTCATGTAATAGCTGTTGAATGGCCACTTGACTGTCTGAGTAGATGATGACGTTCTTGATTTGTGGTAGTTCCTTCATGAGAAATTTGGCCACTTTTGCTGCCCCATACATCGAAGTTATTTCCTTTCTGGGAATCGTCAGTTTGATGCTCGATCGTTTCTTCAGTTCGCTTGGGAACAGTCGTGATTTTGCAAAGATTAAAGCAGGTTTTTTCATCGGTCCAATGACATATGCAGCAATACCAAAACCATATGAACTTGCGTCGCAGAACACCGCCATGTTGACGTCTTCTGATTTTAGTTCCACCATCCGCGGAACTTCTATTTCTTTCACGTCGTCGACATACTTCGTCCATTCGAATACAAGTTCTTGGGGCACGGGATCATCCCATGAGATCCCTAGGTCCCAAATCTTTTGAAGGATCCGTTTGAATGGCAACATTGTTGGAGATAGAAGTCCAAGTGGGTCATAAAATTTTCCGAGATGAGATACCATCATTCTTTTTGTTACGGTGCCATCGCCATCGTACGTAAACTTGGGTCTTTGAATGACAAAGGTGTCTTCCTTGAGTTTCCACGGATGTCCAAGAAACTTTGTGACTGTGGCTGGTTCTGGGTTGAAGAACTTCATAATCTTGTCGCTATTGGAGTAATACTCTCGAAGCTCCATACTGGCGTTGGCGAAAATATCCTTCGTTCTTTGACATCGTTCCTTCAGATCTTCTTCCGAATCATCTATTTCCATGACGTTATCCACATAGATGTTTTGAATTAATCCTTGCCCTTCATGGTATCTCTCCAGATGATACCTGATCGTCAGGGCAAGCAGGCTTGGACTGCAAGTCGCCCCGAAGAGAACTCTGGTGAACCTGTAGACTTGGAAATTTGTCCTCGATACAGGTCTGGACCAGTCTTTCGGAAGAAGGAATCGGACCGCATCTCGTTCCGATGGTTGTAATCCAAGCTGGTGGAAGGCTTGTTTGACGTCACTGATGGTAACATATCGTCCATGGCGGAAGCGAAGGATCATTCCGACGAGTTGTGGTAAAAGAAGTGGTCCTTGATGGAGAGCATCATTCAGAGATATGCCTCCCTTGGGGGAAGCTGAGCAATCAAAGACAACTCTAATCTTCGTAGTTGCTTTATCCGGACGGATTACAGCTTGGTGGGGAACGTATGAAATCACATTGTCCATTTCATTCGTGGTAACCTTCTCGATTATGCCTTCTTGGAGTTGATCGTCGAAGATTTTCTTGTATTTCACCTTCAGTTCTGGATCTTTCTCAAGTTTTCTCATCGTTGTTTGTAGTCGGAAGAAGGCCAATCCGAAGTTTGTTGAGAGTTCCAACTTCTTCTCATTCCAAAGCCATTTGACGGTGTAACGTTTCCCATCAAATTCGACATCCCTCTTGAATTGTTCCAGTAGTGCTTCGTCGACAGTTTCTGGATGTTGTGTTGAGAATCCCAAATTTTCCAGTTTCCATAGGTTTTGTAATTGGTGATCCATGTTTTCATCGTCTCCAGTGATTGCTGGATTTGTCCATGTTGCAATACGTTCAGGTTGTGGTTGATGAAGTATGATGGTTCCCAAATCTGTCTCAAACTGCTTCAAATTTGGGCCGATGCAGGTACTGTCGGTCAATAATTGGAACATGTAGTCCGATCCAATTAATAAGTCTGGTGTCACGGTGCGAAGTTTATGCGATCCATCAGGTTGACGTTCGGCGTAGCCAACTTTTCCGACAAGCGTTTCCGTAGCGAATAGGGTCACTGGTAACGTATGATTCACCGTTGCTTCCACTACGTCCACTTTCTTCCTTTGGTTCATTCCCGCAAGTCCTTTGATGTACAGTTCCTTCGTTCCTTTGTTTTCCAGGCCAAGTTTTTGAGCTGCTTCTTTCCTGATATAGCTCTTTTCCGAACCGCTGTCGAGAAATGCCATAAGTTCCAGTTGTTCTCCGCTGTCTTCATTCGTTAATCTAATCGGCACTACAGGTAGTGTCGGCTTTTCTTCCTTCAGAAATGGCGCAGTACTAAATGCACAGTTCACTGCTGTCTCTTGACGTTCTTCGTCCTGGCAAGTCGTGGTGAACGTCTTAACATTCTTGATTGGTGTGAAGTTGGGGTTCTTGGGATTATTGAACCATGGTCGAGGCTGTTGCTGTGTTGCTATCGGGATGTTTCCAGGTTTCTGGCCGGTTCCTCGAGCTTGCTGAAATTGACGAGCTGGAGTTGGTTGTCGATCTCCATCGCAAATGAGTTGGTTATGGCTTCCATTGCACTTTCTGCAAGTTTTTCCGCAGTTGTGTGCTTTCTCGAATGGCTGGAGGCAGCAGTAACATCGATGTAGTTCTCGGATTTTATCGCGCCGCTCCTTGACTGTGGGACAGGTGTGGCATTGATAAGAACGGTGTGATGACGAATTGCAGAACAGGCATGGTAACAATTTTGCCTTTGGAGGATCCGCGGATTGAATAGTATATGATCGAACAGGGAAGGGGTTCTCCTTTCGCGTCTTGGTCATTTCTTCTTCTTCCTTAATCATGTCGAATAGCTCATTGGTAGCAATGTCGTTGTTCCACTCTGAAGTGATTCGTTTCCGGTCGTGAAGTTTGTATACGAGATATTTTGGTATTCTTGATTCTATCAGGTACCAGTATTGGTCGTCTCCGATGGATCGTTTGTATTGTTTCAATTGATTACGAAGTTGGTCCATTTCGAGCAGGTATGCCTTGGTGTGATGTATTGATGTTCCTTTCGGTGTCAAAGTGTTCAGTCGTTGAATAAGTTGATTTACAATGACTCTGTCATCTCCAAACCTCTTTTCTAATGTCTCCATGACAATAGAATAATTTTCATCTCTGATTTGGTACCCTTGTACCATTTTCTTTGCGTCTCCTTCCAGAAGTCCAATGAGATAATTGAGTTTGTCGACATCATTCAAGTCGTTCCGTCGGTGGATGGTTCCACGGAACCGCTGTATGAACTGTGGCCATGCAGTTGGTTCACCGTTGAAAGTTGGTAGGGATAGTGCCGGGAGTTTCACGTTAGTGATTGGGATTGCCACCGAGGTTTGAGTCGCTGTCAGGTTTGCGGTGCTCGCATTGTTTTCCATGTTGAATTTCAATTCCATTTCTGCTAGCCGAGCTCTGGCTAGCTGTTTCTGTGCACGTAGTAAACTCTCCTCGGCTTCCTCCGGGAGAGTAAGCATCTTCGTTTTTTCGTGAAAAACATCCATTATCTTCTTCTCCAGTTCATATTGCTCCAGGCTGACCCGATCTAATATGGCTCTCCATTGCTCGATGTAACTGTTAACTCTTTCCAGTGTTTTGGTAAGGCTCTGTGTGGGGCCTTCAAGGTCAATGATATATTCCTTGGTTTTAAGAAGTCTTGATCGGGTTTCTCCAGTAACCATTTCGAAGTCGCCGATTGAGTCGCATGTAGCCTTATGTTTTTTCAACGTACCGAGTGCTGGTCCAAGTAGTCGTCGCAAGTGGCTCGAGAGGCTTTGAGTTTTTTCTTCAACCATTTCCTTAGGGTCCATCGTTTTCCAAGTGTGAGTTGATGTGTTTGTTGCAGTGGCTTAGGTTTTCCAGTTGTAGCTCCAAGGCAGGGAGCAGTTCGATTCGCAAGATGCAGTAGCAGTAGTAGTACAGTAATACAGTTCACAGTTAAGGCTCACCGGCTGAGCCCCCAAATCTTATTGCGCCCCTTGCAATAAGTCAGTAAAGTCTAGTGGTGAAAAATTAGTCCAAAAGGGGTTATACACAGTAGTTTATTTGAATAGAATCAGCGTGTACAATTCCAGAGTAGAGGAATATATCTTACTTCAGTTTTCGTAGGCGACTCTTGAAGATGCTTCACTTTTCCTAGGCGACCCTCTCTTTAGATGGCTCGGGCCGGGTTTATATACTGGTGGGGTTAGTGTGATGTAAACATTATTTCATAACAATTTCGAAATTTAGACAAATATGTCGTGACATAATTCGTTTCTAGAATGCGATAGATTTGTTTCGCAATAATTTCTGCGTTAGAAAAAAGCGAAGAGAGTTATTTTCGCGTTTCGCGAAAAGAAGAGAAAAATGAAGAGACCTTTTAGTAAACAATTGCGAGAGAAATGGAGAGTAAAGAACGCTCACAAATTTTTCCCTTTACAAACAAGAGGAAAGATAAAAATATTATAGTTGCAAAAACTTTTTACAATTCTTTGCGAGTCGAGTCGCAACAAAGTGAATTTTGCGACATGCACTGTGCGAAAACAAAAATTCACTTTGCACCGTGCAATAGTCTTTTTTGGGCTATCCTTTCCGCCCTGACTTTTGTCGCACAGTGCATGCGCGAAAAATCACTCCATCGGCTTTACGGATCCTTTTTCACAGATCAAAATTGAAAAAGCGGCCCGCACTGTGCGAATGATTCGGTACGGCGACGCAGCGCACTGTCCCTTTTTTTGCACTGTGCGCGAGTTTTGAACCATTTTGCACTGTGCCATTTCGCACCACCGCGCTCGGAAATTGCACAGTGCAAAGTGTCAGACGCTCGGTGCGAAATGGGGTTTTTTACCCGGTGCAGCCACGCGACAAAAAGCATGGTACTTTTAAAAGAGTGTAGTATCAGTCTGTCGGGAAAATAATGAGCCCTCTGTGGGAGTGAAAATCGCATCGCTGCCGAGAAAATGAATTGTGTCGCGGCAAAATCAAATTGCTTTTCACTTCAGCGATGCGATTGGCGCAGCGACATTCTGCCCATTATTTTCCCGACAGGCTAATCTTCAAATTTTTTTTCAAACAAGCGATTACGAAAGTGGTGACAATCGTAGAAAAAAAAATGTTTTTCTGTAAGTACGGAAAAGATTGCGGGAGCACCAAAAACCTCCAACTGATAATCACCTCAACGAACGCAGGAATGCTTGCAAAAAGCTGTTTTTTGAAGGCACACGTCCAAATCATGATAATCACAAACTCTCCCAGAACATAAACGAACCGCTTTATAGTCGATTCAAAAATAAATTTTGCAATCAACTTTGGGGCTGATAAGTAATCGAGATGACAGTTTACAGCCTTCAGGACAGGTAGACTTTTGGCGAAGTGTATTGAATAGGAACAAAACGGATGGAAAAAAGGTGGTTTTGAATTAAAATTGGAGTGTCTGTAACGTGGCGGTGAAAAAAGGGAGGGTTTTGAAAAAAATCTGAAGTTGGGAAAGGCAGTAGAAATAGTAAAAAAACGCGATTTGAGGTGTTTTTTATAGTTCACCAAAAAAAATTTTTGGTAAAAAAAAAATAAATTTAGCATTTTCATAAAGTGCATGGACATTTTCTCTATTAGCATTTTCACAAAGTGCCTGGACATTTTTTCGCTTTTGCACAGTGCATTTTGAACCTTTTCCCACTTGTCGCCAATGCACAGTGCATTTTTCTTTTTTCGCACCGTGCAAACCTCAAAAAGGCCGTTTGCACTGTGCAAATTTTTGAGCAAAGCCGCAGCGGCGCAGTTGAGAAAAGCTCACGTCGCAGCGATATTTCAAATGCACAGTGCAAAACCAAAAAAAAGGTGAGTGCACGGTGCAAGAACTCGCGAATTTTTGTGCACGGTGCGGACCACGAAAAAAGTCTACGCAATTTTTGAAAACGCAAACATTTCGCACAGTGCATTTTGAACTTTTTCCCACGCTTGTCGCCAATGCACAGTGCATTTTTGGCTTTTCGCACCGTGCAAACTGCAAAAAAGCCGTTTGCACTGTGCAAATTCCTGACGCAGCGACAAAATTGAAGCTTGCTTATGTCGCAGCGACAATTCGCCGCACAGTGCAAAAAGTGCAAAAACAAAAAAGGCCGGGGGAATGCACGGTGCAAAATGAGGGTTTTTTTTGCACGGTGCGTTGCGCAGAAAAAGTCCATGCACTTTCTGAAAATGTAATAAAGGCCCCAATAGCCTTCCAAATGGGCTGATCTCAGCTAAACTAACATCGGTTACGAAAAACAAGTCAAATCGCGGTCAAAAACGAAAAAAATAAAAAAAATTACGCCACCTGGAAGTTCGGGGGAAAAAGAAAACATTCGGGAAAAGACGACCTTAGGTTTTTCACCCCATTTTATCTCAAAAAATTCGATTCCTCTCTTTTCTTGTCTCTGCGCCCTCCGCTTTTGTGCGCTCTTTTTTCACGGATTCTTTTCAAACCCTCGAAGCGATCTCTTTTTCACGTTTTTTATAGCCTTCTGTCGGTTTTGTATAATAAACAGAGCGCTGCAAAAAATTTGATTTGACACGAAAGACGGGAGATTTTAGGGGTAAGGGGAAATGATAATTTCTTTGTCTTACAGCGAAACTAGCGGAAGTGCGACGCACAAGTTTTAATATAACTTGGCGAAAATTTAGAATGATTTTTTCTAAAACATACAGTGCGCGACAAAATTATAACCGCACTTTAGAAATTGCTGTAACTTTTTTGGTTGTCAATAGAAATGTGTGATATTTGGCTCCAATATGCATTAATGTCTCACGAATCATGTGCCAAAAAATTATTTCGGGAACTTTTTCCAATTTGGAAAAAAATTGAAAATACCGAAATTTAGATGATTTTCTATGCGACAAAATTATAACCGCACTTACGAATTTGGTTAATTAGCCTAATTGAATCACTGAATAACAATAACTAATGTTTAGTTACGTCGCCTGAAGCTCCAATAACGCCGATTGAATAGCCGAGAATACTCTGGGCAAAGTTTTTTTAACCTCTTCTGGCTAATATTGTACCAGAATCGGAAAAGTGCCTATTTTAGCTCAGGTAGGCCGTTCGGACAGAGTTTGCCAGTAACTAACTGAGTAACCCAGAAGCCTATAACACATCTATACGTTCTGGGAAAAAAGGTGTACCACTGCAGCAGAGAAGGGCGTATATATCCACCGAGTTTCCAACTCCAACGTCCCTTGGGCTCATATAAACTAAAAAATAGGCCTCAAATTGTAGCAGTAAAGCTATGCTGGAGGTTGTAAGACACAGCTACGTCATCACTGGGCGTCATATGAAGTTGTGGCCTCAGCTGGCCGGGTCCACGGCAGGGCGTGGCCGCGATTTGCCAAGGTGACATTGGCAAAATAGGTTGATCAGTTAAAGGTTAGTTTAACATCATTACAGTGCCGAAATCCTTGGAGATTTTATGGCCAAATGATGTACCTGACGGCTTCACACATTACCTACATTACAGACGTAAAACCAGAAGAGAAATGCGTTATTTTCCGCGCCGTAGCGTTTTAGGTGGCTAGTTGATGATTTGGAGCGCCTTCCAAGAACCGGAGCGCTTCCGTTGGCGACCACATCAACTCAAATGAGTATCCTTGAGTACTAGGGAGTCTTAGGCAAGCATCTGGTAACGTATTGGCAACCAGGCTACACGTTAATGCAGGGCAGTGCTCGCGTATACCTTCGCTGGTCGACAAAGCTGTTCCTCAAACAGCAAGGAATTGCTATCCCGAACGAGCCTATGCGTTCCTTGGATTTAAATCCTATAGAGAACGTGTGGGGCTTCCAGGTTTACTAACCGACACCCATTATTTTACAGTAACTGAGCTAAGATAGGCACTTTTCCGATTCTGGCACAATATTGGCCAGAAGAGGTTAAAAAAACTTTGCCCAGAGTATCCTCGGCTATTCAATCGGCGTTATTGGAGCTTCAGGCAACGTAACTAAACATTAGTTATTGTTATTCAGTGATTCAATTAGGCTAATTAACCAAATTCGTAAGTGCGGTTATAATTTTGTCGCATAGAAAATCACCAAAATTTTGGTTTTTTCAATTTTTTTCCAAATTGGGGAAATTTCACGAAATAATTTTTTGGCACATGATTCGTGAGACATTAATGCATATTGGAGCCAAATATCACACATTTCTATTGACAACCAAAAAAGTTACAGCAATTTCTAAAGTGCGGTTATAATTTTGTCGCGCACTGTATGCGAGACTCCTAGCTCGCGCTTTGCAGAAAAAATCGAGGTTTTTAGAATGTTGAATATCTCGGCTGCGCTTGCAAAGCGCAAGCTAAAATTTTCAGGAATGGATTTGTGGCTCATGTTGAAAGCGTGTGCAAAATTAAAAGAAAATCTGGGCGTCAGACTTTGGACGCTTCCCTTGTGAACTTCGACCCTTTTTGTAGCCCTGCTTACAGGGGAAGTACTCCAAGTGCGCCGCTCAGATTTTGATGAAGCTTGGCACAAATTTAGAACAATTTTTTCCAAAATATATACGAGAATTCTAGAACGCGATTTGCAGAATCTTTCGATCTAGAACCGAGATTTCTAGATCGAAAGTTAGCGAAAATTTGACATTTTTTGCTGAATTTCGGCACGAAAAGTTTCATGCCTACTAGTCGCGGAAAAAAGTCCTGGGAATTTCTCGCGGCCGTCGCGTTCCGAAATGTTGATTTGTCGCTGCGAAACACGGGAATCGCGCGCGACAATAAGGCAAAATCAACAAAATTGCACTGTGCAAAAGCACTTTTCGGGTTCATGCACAGTGCAGAGTCGCAGAAAATTCCCAGGACTTTTTTCCGCGACTAGTATTTCTACCATAGAGGGTAATGCTTCCGAAAATCATTTTTTTTCGTTTTTCTCTCTGACCGCTCTCATTAGAGACAAAAACTTTAAATAATTTTACAAATTCCTTTTCCCAGAGCTGAAAAATGTAAAGATGATACGATATTTGATAAAAAATAGCTGAAAACGCAAGACCCGGAAAAACAAAACCACAGCTCTCGTGGAGAGTCCATAAATATTGGGAGTAATGAGGGTTATATATCAAACTTTATTGAGTTCTCTACGAGATGGAGATGCAAGAAATAGGGCAAGTGAGTAATGATCAAGGTTGTTTAGATGATGGTTTTGGGAGCACCGTATCTTTAGGCCGCTGGGAGAGCAAGAAAGATAATTTATTGTGATCTCTTAAAACTATACGTTAAAAATGATGTAATTTACATCGTAAAAAGCTAAATTGAACATCTGAACTTATATTAATAGTAGGCGTTTTAAAAAATGTAAGATATAAAAATATTTTACATTACTCTGCTGTTTAGAAAAGTTGAAATTTTGAAAAAAAAACAAAAAAAATCATATCTTTAAAGTTGTTCCACAAGAATTAATAAAAAAAATAACTATTTTTTGCCAAGAGCATCCCAATGACGACAAAAATATTTACTCCAAAACCCACATTTCTCCAAGAAAACGAGGAAAAAGAGAATTTTTTTGGACAAACAAGGGGCTGACCCAAAAAAAGAGCCCATTCAAAAGCCCTGAGGGCAAAAATAGACGTCTGAATATGGCCATAAAATTTTTTAACGGGCGTTTTTTCGTTTCAAAGATTTTTAAAAACGAGTCGGAATAATTTTTTAAAATTTTCAAGAAATTATACCAGCCTGTCAGGAAAATAATGGCCCTCTGTCGCATCGAAAATCGCCGCCGAGAAAGTGAATTTTGTCGCTGAAAAATCAAACTGCTTTCACTTCAGCGGCGCGATTGATGCAGCGACATTGTGCTCATTATTTTCCCGACAGACTTTTTAAAAAAAATTTTGCTATAAAATAGTTTTATTTTTTTTAATTATGAGCTCTAGCCAAATCATAGTTTCCGAGATAATTTTCGCCCAACTTCAGCTTCTCAACATAATTGATTTGGTCGTTGTTGACGTTACAGTAGTGAGTAATGGTCAGATAAGGGTTTAGTCCGTAAATTCCATTGGAAATCCAGGTATCAATTGTTTGGTTTTTGTCGTCAAGGTTGAACTCTCTGAAAAAAAGCGAAATTAAATGATGATTTTTAGAAAAGTTGTATGAGCCAAGCTAACAAGGGAAATGCCCCAATTGCGACGCTCAGATTTTGATGAAACTTGGGGACAAATTTAGAATAATTTTTTCTAAAATATATGAGAGAATCCTAGCTTGCGCTTTGCAGAAACAACGGAGATTTATAGATCGAAAGTCGGCGAAAATTTGAGACCTTTTGCCAAATTTCAGCACCAAAATTTTCATGCTTATTTCTGCCATTGAGGGTAATGTTTCCACAAAAAATCATTTTTTGCCGTTCGAAACTGGCAAAGTTATGGCCAAAAAAGTGTTTTTCTCTGACCGCTCTCCGCGTTTAGTGTACTCTCTCGGCGGCAAAGATAGTTCAATATCTCGGCGGCGCTTGCAAAGCGCGAGCTAAAACTTTCAAGAATTGATACTTGGTTCATGCTCGACATGTGTGAAAAATTTAAAGAAAATCTGAGCGCCGCAAGTACAAAGGAATACTTCCATTGTAAGCTAGATATTGAAAAAGTAACGTACTTAACAATGTTGTCAAAGATCCGTCCCTTATCCCAGAACTTTAAATGCGTGCTGCTGGGGATCCATTGATGCTGTGACCTTGCCGAGCAGTAGAATTTCCCGGTGATATGAGCCTTATCTCTGGCGGAAACTACCGCAACCGCAGCAAGAAGAACGAAGAGTGCGAGTTTGGACATCTAAAAGAAGTGAGACTGGTTGATAAATAAATGCTTTGAAACGAAAAAATAGTGATGACCAAACGATTACTAACACATCCCCAGAAATTACATGGAGTCGCATGTGAATCATGAAAATAAAAAATAAAATGATTGATGTTCTGACTATTGACAATAAAAGGGTGGAACAGCAGCCATTATTATTGCAAATGAAGTTCTATTCGCAACAAAATTGATTTGGATGCAGCGTTTTTTTTTCAAAATTGCGTTTCACAAGGAAAGTACTTTTATGGGGGCTCCTACTTTTTGACGGGACATATCTCAAAAAATCAGAAAAAATGTGCTGATCAAGGATATGTAAATCTTAGCTGCCCATTTTAGGTTTTTAGGGGTGAAAACTCAATCGGAAATTGACTTAAAGTCCTATATGAACCCCTTTTCGCCTAATTTTTCACGGGTTTACAATTTTTATTTAGGCTTAAAATGATGTTTATTGAGTTTCTAAGACGTAATAAATCAGTCTTGGCCCAAAAATTTATTTTTCCGACCTTCAACTTCAAAAAAAGTTAGTTCAGCCCAAAACGGAGATCGAACCCGTGCGGCGCGCTCCCTCTTGATTCCCAAACTACGGCACTAACCACTCGGCCACACCGCTCTCTTCCGAAGGAAGAAACCGACTGCGCTTTTTATCGTTTCGAATGCCTGCGTCTTTTGTAGGGAAATTAAGCCAGTTTTTGGGCATTTTCACCCCTAAAAACCTAAAATGGGCAGCTAAGATTTATATATCCTTGATCAGCAAATTTTTTCTGATTTTTTGAGATATGTCCCGTCAAAAAGTAGGAGCCCCCATAAAAGTACTTTCCTTGTCAAAAGTTACTTTCTGTCATAAAGCTTTTCGCACTGCGCGTGAATTTTAGGCGCACTTTAGACTGTAAAGTCTCGGCAGTTTCTGAAATGTTCTAGCCAAGGATCCCTTATATCAGTTTGTCGGGGAAATAATGAGCACAATCAAGCTGTGCCGATCGCGTCGATAAAGTGATTGCAATTAGATTTTGCCGCTACACGATTCATTTTCTTTGCGATTTTCGATGCGATACAGTGCTCATTATTTTCCCGACAGGCAGATACTTCGTATTGAAGTTGAAAAAAAAAATTGGGAAAAGTTTCATGAAACTCTCAACGTCGCATCTTGTGAGCCCTCGCCGTTGGAAAAAAAAATAATATGAAATCTCTAGACACCTTACAAAAACGCTCCACTCACGCTAAAAATATACCTTAACAGATTTTTATATACAGCTCCTTATGTTTACCTAACTGACTAATACTCAGTTCTACGTCAATTTTCGCCGGAAATTGTTCGTAAAAAGTAGTCAACGAATTGAAAGCCGGAAACTCAACGAAAAAATCTGTTGATTTGCTTGATTTCCGACCTTATAAGAGGTTTATCAGTGTTTCCCAAAGAGAAATTGGAGTGGTTTTAGGGAGTGTCACCGAAAATTAAATTTTGTTGAGTCATAAGAACGTCGGTTATCAGGAGATTATGATTATGTAATTTAGAACTTTCAAGAACAAAGTAGATTTTGACTAAAAACAGTAAAATTTTGCTGTTTTAAAAGTTTTTAGTGCTTTAAATAAAAGTACAGTAAAATAAACCGCCAATAATGCACCAATTTCTATAAAATTCTTATCATATTGAAGCTGAGACACCTATTTTTTGTCCGCCAAATGTGACGGCTCTACGTATATGGAGGCCCCCGTGACCTTTGGCGTTTTAAAATTTGGAGCCCAAAATCGGTGAAACTTACAGTACTCCAAGTGTGACGCTGAGATTTTGATGGAACTTGGCACAAATTTAGAATAACTTTTCGAAGAAAAATATGAGACTCTTTCAGACCGAAAGTAGAAAAAACTCATAGCTTTCTTAAATTTTGGCATGAAAAGTCTCATGCCTATTTCTACCGTAGAGCCTAATGTTTCCATTAAAAATCAATTTTTTTCGCGTTGAACTGGCAAAGATATAGCCAAAAATTGTTTTCCTCTGTGACCAATTTTCAAACGCTCTCTCGGCCGCGAAGGTCGGTGAATATCTTGGCTCTCTCTGCAAAGTGCAAGCTAAAACATTCTGGAGTTGATATGTGGCCGATGTCCGGCATGTGGGCAAAATTTTTAAAAAATTTGAGGGTCGCCTTTGGGATACTTCCCGTATTAATCAAAATACGGCATTTCATGTGCAAAAGATTGATGTACAATAGTACAGGGTGGGCCACTCGAAACTCCTAAGCTTAATTCAAGTATTTCTCCGCCAATACTGCACCAATTTGTACAAAATTGGCTTCAATTGGCTTCAGCTTCAATTCAAAATAAATTTTGTACAAATTGGTGCAGTATTGACCGAGAAATACTTGAATTAAGCTTGGGAGTTTCGAGTGGTCCACCCTGTATTCGTTACTTTTTAAATTTTTTTTCGTATAAAAACATTGATAGTTTTACACGTTAATCTTTAGCAGACTTCTCGGATTCCTCGGCGATTCTGAAAGCCCAAACTACGGGTTTGTAAGCGGTTTTCTTCAATTCCATTTCTCACATAGCCACCATTTCCGTTTTTTCGATCGCGTTTCACGAAACGGAAGGATGCCGCCGACCTCACGTCGGCGTCATTCCACAGACGAAGAAAAGCTTCCAGAACAGTCGCCTGACCTTTCCTTTTTTTGGAGTTGGCGACTTGGGGGAGATGGTCGGGGCGGTTGCCGCTTGATCCCGAGAGCCGGCGGTTGTGTCTGCGATAGCGGCTGGGTTGACGCGAGTAGCGGAGATTTTTCGGATTCACAAGGATCTTATGGTGGATGGGATCGCTTTACAGCGGAACATGGAAAACTTTTAGGCCATTCTGGATTTGCAACGTTTTAATAAAAAGGGACAAGGTGGATTTTGCTTGAAATTTTGAGTGGGCGATCTGTGTCTATAAATTGTCGGATGGTTTATAGCTCATTCAGCAGTCTATGCGAGTTGGGAAGTGCGGGAAATCAGGATGGTTTGAGAGCAAACTTTTTCCAAAATATTCAAAATTCGAGCTGAAGAAATCGATTGTTTTTACAAAGGAAGGCTTCCAAAGGCGACGCTGAGATTTTCGTTAAACTTTGCACACATAACAAGGCATAGTCCAATATTAATTCCTGGAAATTTCAACTCGCGCTTTGCAGGGGTACCGAGATATTCAACGATCTTTGCCCTCGAGAGAGTACGGGAAAGGCGGAGCGCGGTCAGAGAGAAAACGCTTTTTTTGACCATTTTTTTGGCAGCTATGTAAAGTAAAAATAATTTTTTGTGGAAATATTACACTCTGCGGTAGAAATAGGTATGAAACTTTTGATGTTAAAATTTGCAAAAATGCTCAAATTTTTTTCGAACTTCTGGGCTAAAAATCTCGGTTATTTCTGCAAAGCGCGAGCTAAAAGTTTTTCATTTGTCTTGAAAAAAATTATTTTAGTGCCAAGTTTTATCAAAATCTATCAGTTGAACTTGGAGTACTTACCCTGTTCGTAATGCATGTATTGTGATTGTAAATTGTGATCATATGGGTAACGGCGTGCTACTTTTTTATCTCCTCTACTCTCAAAACATTTGTCATATTCCTCAAAAAATTCTCCGCTAATAACTCACCCGAACCTTCAACATCTCTCCTCTGCCCTTCTAGCTCTTTCACTGTCAACCACTTATCTTCTGCATCAAGAAATACCACGTAGCGGTCGCGGTATTTTCATTCCTCCCGCCCCAAATCCCTCCAGAATACTTATCCAGTTCTCCGCCACACAATAACCCAGTTCTCAGTAAATACTACCGTTTCAATACAATTATTTTGTTCCCAAACTCTGCGCGAGGATCTCCTCTACAAAAGCTCCTTGCCTTCACGGAGTTTCCGGTCGATTTTACTTTCCATTTCCTCCCTCTTCGGCACCCGTTTTTTCGGATTTACATCCAATTCCGAGCGCCCTCAAGTGCGCTCGGTAATTTCTCTTCTTCGCCTCCGTTTTTTGTTTATAATGTTTTGGGTACTCTGAGCAAAGAGTGACGGTCACTTAGAGATTAACTAGTCCGTTTGAAAAGTTATTGGAGCAATTTTGGCGCTTGTACTGTGCAGAAAACAAAATTGCATATTGTACTGTGAAATTCCTGGCCTTTTGCGTTGTGAAATAGGCTTTTTTGGGCTTTCGCTTGCACCCTGACTTTCACCGTGCACATCGCCAAAAATAACTATAACGACGTTGCGAACGGACTATATAGCTTCACTCTGTCTTGAAAATAATGACCACAATTTTCGCTGAAATGAAAAGCAATTTCATTTTGTCGCGTTACAGTTCATTTTCTCTACCGTGATTCTATTTTCAAGTGCTCATTATTTTCCCGACAGACTCATATTATTTAATGCAATTTTAGACCCGACAAGTCTACAGCATGCAGATCTGGTACATGGAGCCTTTCCCGTGTGGCGACAAAAGATTGCCTCATCATGTGTTCCCTCCAAAGTTCATCAGCATCGACCAGTTGATGCAGATTTCCGGAGTTGTCCATTACAAGGTGAGTTTCTGAGGAACAGCTGGAAAATTTGAAATGGTAGCCTAGCGAATCGAAAACGAGTGAAAGGTAGCCTCAAAAATGTCATATCTTTGAGAAATGTTTGTCTAAAACGGGCATCAGTCACAGAAATCTTTGGTCTACACATTGCAGGTTCAGTCGAGAACAGTCGTTGCAAACAAGATTCATACATTTGAAAACGAAGATAGAAGATCAAAGACACAACGCTTTTCGTACTAAAAGGTACATTTTTTGTCTAGTAACTACTCCACGCGTATATATTTAGGCCATCATAAAAACGCAAAATTGCGAATTTTCGGGAGTTTTTGAGAAGCTCTGTGACTTGAGCAATAAATATTTTCCGTTAATGTAAGCCGATATTGCGCCCTGAGCAACAAGCCAGTAATAGACCTAACATGTATACAAAGTTCCAAAAAAAACTGGCAGTCTGTGCTCATTATTTTCCCGACAGCTGATAGCAAAACTTATCTTGCATTCGATAAACCATTATCACTTTTGCGCTCACTCTCGTCATTGTTTTCAGGTCGACCTGAAGGATACGGTAGCGATGAAGAAGCGGCTGTCTCGAGTCCGCAACGAAACCGGTTACACCAAGTCGGACATTCTCACGCTGAACGAAGAGATCAACGGATTCGCGGAGAAGCTGGACGACCTCTACGAGCCCGTGAACAACGACAACGAGGAGATGCTGTGCATGGTGCTGGAGGGCGGCCTCTACTGCGACGTGGAGATCGATGAGGACGAGTGGATTCGAATTCATATGGAGGACGGCGACTTGATTGTTGTGCCGAAAGGAAGAGCGTACAGATACACCACGACTTCCAAGAATTTTGTGCGTCTTCAGAGATTCGCCAGAAGATGCGACGAGGTTGCTCAGGGATGAAGATGGAGAAATTCGAAGGTTTTTCTCATCAAAAATCTTTTTTTTTGGCTCAGAATTTTTATGTACAATATACTAGAAGAACCCGCTGTAAAAACTAACTGTCCTGCATATCTGAACTCGATTTATTTGGCGAATAAAAGGTAGTAAAAGGTACAGTATACGACAGGATAACCGGAAGGCATGGTGTGATAAGTGAAGAAATTTGATCAGAATCTTTATAACAGACTTAAAATATGTAAAAAAAGAGTTAAAAGGGGTAAAGAAATATGAATAAAAGAGAAAGAGAATGTCCCGGTGAAAGTCTGCGATGTATGGAGTAGAAAAAAAAGACGATCGAATGTGAAATTTGGAATGAAAACCCGTGCAAATATCATAAATATAGTTGCTAAATAAGTACAGTAATCGAATGCAAAAAGTATGGCCGGTAAGTGAGAAGTTGTGTGAGGAATACTGGTCGCTCTAGTGATCGAAAACCAAGCGAAAATACGATGGAAATAAAGATAAATATGTAAGGGATGCACAAATTACTCAATTCGCTTGGATTTTCGGACCAACGTCAAATATGGCACTGAGAATCTCAATGGCTTGTTGGTCTCGAAATCGGTTGGGAAATATCGAATCTCGGCGTCGAAATTGTGGCTTCCTTCTTTACGATTGATCTCCAAGAGGCCGAACATTACAAAGATATTGTACGCGGCCATGGACGAGAGAAGATGGAAGATGGCGTGGAGATAGGGGGTTCCTGTAAAATTATCAAGTTATGAAGAAAACCTTTTCCCATACGACGTGATATAGTATCAGTCTGACGGAAAAATAATGAGCACAACGTCGCTGCGCTGATTGTGTCGCTGAAGTGGAAAGAAATTTGATTTTGCAGCGATAAAATTCGGTTTCTCGGCAGCGATACGATTTACGATGCGACAGATTGCTCATTACTTTCCGGACAGACTGATAGAGCCTTAGCAAGTATGGGAAAAGACATTTTAAAGGCAACTGCTTTCCAGACGGCCTACATCTGTGGTGGCATATGATACCACAAGAATGTACCGCTCAGACTGCAGATTATACAACGCTAACAACTGTTTCTAGCCTTAAACTGCACTAGCCTAAGCAGGTTTATCGAATGCAATGATGAGCTTAAACAGGCTTAAGCTCAGCTCGCGCTAAGCTCGTCAGCCTAGAAAAAGACAAGATTCACGAAACAGTGACCGCAAAGTGACTGTCTCAAAACTGATTTCGCACGACAGCACAAAGTATAGTGCCCAACTTACCCAAATACAGCCAAAAGTCGCAAAAAACTTTGTCGGACAACCAGAAAGTAATGGCCAATCCCCAGAGAGTGAATACTCGCCAAGTGAACTTCTCCACCGCTGGGAATCCGTGCCTGAAAGTAAAGGCTTACTTATACGCCAAAAATAGATAGCAACTAGCAGTTTTTACTCAGCAATTGCCAATGAGAAATTGCTTTGGAAATATTCCAAACAGGGCTAACACCTACTTGATTCCTTCCAAATAAATCATAACGCTGCTGGGGATGCTGACAATCATCAAAGCGAACGCATTCAACGACGGCTTGATGAAACAGAGCAAACTGACCAGAGTTGTGATTCCAACAATCGCCCAGCGGATTTCGGGGCTAAAAATGAGAAAAATTGCAAACTTGGCCATTTAATAAAAGATGGGACATAGGTGACTTACATTCTATGTCTGAGTCTTGCTGGATATGTCGAGAGAATCGGTAGGTACGCGATAACACACATATTCACCAGCCAAAGGAGCGATAGTTCATCGACTAGTTGACCTGAAATTTTATATGTTCTAAATTCGATTAAAACATTGGAAATGATCGTATTTTCTTAAATTTAAAAAAAGTTTTAAAAAACAAAAAAAATGTGTTTCAAATGCCAACTTTATTTTCTCAATTAACTCACCAAACAAGCTCAACGTTGCATGATAAAACGTCGAAGCGAGACCGTTTATCGTCAACAGCAAGTTGGGCAAGAACATCATCCAATTCTCTTCAACAATATACTCCCGCAACATCATCGCATTTACCATGGGAAGCACGATAATTGGGAGATTTGTCACCGTGTTCGCGAACTCCGCCACCATCGGCAAGGTCTGGTATTTGTAGGCGGACTCGCACCAGGGCATGCCTGATTCGTACTGGAACCAGTGTTCCATTGGAATGTCTGCAAATCGGGATTTTTTTTGAAAAGAAAAATATTAAATCGCGAGGAAAAAAAAATAAAAAAAAATATTGAAAACAGGCCTGAAATAAATAATAGGGGTTTCTGGATAACAAAAGAAATTAGCATAATTTGAACAGCCATGTAAACAAACGCCTGAACGGGAATAAACATTCTGCAAGACCAAAAGCCCAATTATGCAAATCTACAATCGCTCTGTCGGGAAAATAATGAGCACTCTGTCGGGTCAAAAAATAGCATCGCAGCCGACAAAATGAACTGTGTCGCGAAAAAATCAAATTGCTTTTCACTTCAGCGATACGATCGGCGCAACGGCAGAGTACTCATTATTTTTCCGACAAACTGAAAGTATTTTCATAAAGTGCGTAGACTTTTTGTCGCTCGATGAAAAAAAATTTTGCACAGTGCATCTCGAGGCTTGGAAAATTTTAAAAAAATAGGGTTTTAAAAGCTCCGACTTCTACAAAATGCGGAAAAACAACCAAAATTTTAGAAATAGTACCGTAACGACATCTAAAATATCGAAAACCGCCAACGTCAGGCCCGTTGCCAATGCAAAACTAGAAAATTTCAAGCGTTTCATCCCTCAGAAACTACAACATAGACGCTTTCTATTACTATAACAACGCGGCAACGTCCATCAAAAATGCAGCGAAATGGCAACAAAAATAAACTGTTTTCATCCTGGTACAGCCAAACACAATTTGCATAATCATCGTTCACGTGACTGGGCAGTGACAAATGCATACAGAAAGGGGATCAGATGAGAAATCAAATAGAGGTCTCAAATTTTTATAAAAATAGAGGGAAATATGAAATTAATTTACAAGGGAAGGATTCCAAGTGAGCCGCTCAGATTTTTATAAAACAAGCCAAGATACTCTAAATTTGGGCCAAGTTTCATCAAAATCTGAGTGGCGCACTTGGAGTACTTTCACTTTTAATATTAGTTGAGAAGTGCAAGTTTTGATTAAAATTGATTCAAAATGAGGATCATTGTATATACTATAATACTTATATAGATATGCGCACGATTTTCAAGTTGAGCCTTGCAGAAAACAATCAGACGATAAAATCGAAATTTATTTATATTCAAGTCGGTTGGAGCTTATATTCAATCCAGCTTGCAAAAAGGTGGGGTCAAGATTTATATTTTATTTACAAGGGAAATACCCCAAGTGCGACGCTCAGATTTTGATGAAACTTGGCACAAATTTAGAATAATTTTTTCTAAGACATATGCGAGAATCCTAGCTCGCGCTTTGTAGAAACAACCGAGATTTTTAGATCGAAAGTCGGCGAAAATTTGAGACTTTTTGCAATTTCTACTGTAAAGGATAATGTTTCTACAAAAAATCAAACTTTTCCGCACGAGACTGCCAAAGTTATGGCCAAAAAGCGCTTTTTCCTTTGACGCTCTCCACGTTTAGCGTGCTCTCTCGGCGGCAAAAATCGTTCGATATCTCGGCGGCGCCCGCAAAGCGCGAGCTAAAACTTTCAGGAATTGATATTTAGTTCATACCCGACGTGTGTGCAAAATTTAAAGAAAATCTGAGCGTCGCACTTGGACGTCTTCCCCTGTGAGCAGAATTCACCAAAGAATGGCTCAAACAGATTTTTCTCTAACCGTCTCTCCCCATTTTTAACAGTTTCTTGTTAGAGAAGAATCTTGAATATAACTCTCAAAAAAGATATCCATCTGGCGGGAAAATATTCACCACAACGTCGCATCGAAAATCGCATCGCCCTCGAGAAAACGAATTGTCGCAGCAAAATCAAATCGCTTTTCATTTCAGCGACGCGATCTGCCTCATTTACGCCCATCATTTTTCCGACAGCTGATAGAAAATCTTATTTAAACAGACGACTTGCTAAGCTATGTTCCCAAAACCCCGAAAATATTCAAAACCCACCAAAAAAGGAACGCTTCAGAATTCTTCTCCCAACCCCAGCCTCACGTAAGCCCTCAAAACGAAAATAATCCGATTTGTGATTGCTCCAGAAATGACAAAGCCCATCCATCAACGACGCCGCACTTAATGGTCTAGTTTTGTCACGATCAAATTCAGGGACCTGACCCCAACGCCATTAACTGGATTGTTCGTCTTTCGTTCCGCCTTCGATCAGGTGGAACGGGGGGTCAAACGAGCTGCGAATACGACAAGAACTCGAAACAATGAAGGGTAAAAGAGGTAGGAGTAGGTGTTCGAGAAGGAACGGTTAAATGAGCGCAGGGAAGGGCTCGAAAAAGAGCTGGGTTCGAAAAGAGCGTGGGGTTTGAGCGGATTTTCTTCTACTTTTTTTTCAAAATGTAGATAGAACGTGTGATCAATGGCTATATTTTTTCAAAAAAAATACATCGCCAACAAACATTACTTTCTAATTTTGAAAACCAAATAAAAAAAAAGAAAATTTTCCCGGGAAATGTGACAAAAAAATCTCTTAATAAACGCTTCGCGTGAACCTCGTATGACGGTGGGTTGTAGACAAGAACTGTTTGAGAGGATTTTTGAAGGGGGGATATGGTGTTTTTAATAGGGATTTATGGATGAGCTTACCTATCAATACGACAGGGGATGTTTTTTGAATATAACTTCGATTTCACGCTTTTCTGCAAATGTTAGTCCGTTCCCAAGGTCGTTGGATTGATTCGTCAACAAGCAAAGTGCAAGTACTGTGCAAAAAAGTCAGAATGACAGCTCAAAAAACCTATTGCACGGTGCAAAGTGAGCTTCTGTTTTTGCACAGTGCATGTCGCAAAAATCACTCCAGTGACTTTTCTCATCCGGCCGCACCGTGCACAAAAAACCCTTTTTGCGGCGTGCATTTGATCTTTTGCACCGTGCATGTCCAATATCGCCGAGACAAGCTTTTCCCGAAGGAGTCGCGCAAATTTTAGGCGCACAAAATGAAATTGCACAGTGCAAAATTTTTCAAAAAGGATCGCGTCGCGCGGGGAACAGGAAACTTGCACTCTGTGTGCAAAAAAAAGGCCGAAAAAATCTACGCACTTTCTGGAACAACTAGCAGTATTTCTGCAAAGCGTGAAACAAAGATAAGAAAAAGTTCCTTATTTTGGCCACAACAAAGGTACCTCGCGAACTGCGCCCAAGCTTGGGCACTAAAGTTAGAAAAAAACGCTTCGACCTAGCTGGCACTGAATTATTATAATAGCTCTATAGTTTTAAGGGTACCTACGAAGTTTGTGACGAATTTAGTTCCATACGGAGGCAATAAGTTTAGATCCGGACATGTTTCATCGTATAAAATGTAGAATCACAGGCTGCAGCCGTTTTTGAAAGGTAAGGTGGTACGTAAAAAAGAAGGTACCTCACTAACTAAACCCACAGTCCGGGCATTGACAACGATGAATTGAGCGTGCACGCTAAATTTGGGCTAATTCCGACCAGTCTCCGCAAAGTTATAAGTTGTGGCCAAAATAAGGAACTTTTACCTTCCCTTGTCATATTGATAGGTGAGCTCAACCATAAATCCCCACTGAAAAACACCAATCCCCCTTCCAAAGATCCTCTCAAACAGTTCCCGTCTACAACCCACCGACATACGCCGTTCACACGAGACAACAAAATAAAAATAAATTTTTTTTACGTCATCCAGTTCTACGGGATGGGATCATATGAGAGCGAGCATGTGGAGGGATGTCTCGTGGTGAGGCGCGATGAGTCGTCGCATGCGATTAAAACTCGCAAGAAAAACCATAATTAAACCTGGATTAGAGGCGATGGGGGGAGAAATTGAAAGACAGGAAAGTATGGACTGTTCGTTTTCGTATAGTCTTCGATAAACAATAATTTGGGTGGGCAGACGGGGAGGGGTTTTTTGAACTATGGAAAAAAACCGCGTGGTTTGGGGTGTGATGAGAAAACTTATGTCAAAAAAAGTGCATTTGCGGAGCGGAAAGTGCAGGTTTTGATAAGAAATGACCAAAATTAAGACCAAAGTTGACAAGTTAAATTAACACCAATGAAAAAATTTTTTTGTTTACTTTGCAAATGCTGAGGCGTTATGAAATCTAAAGCCCCAAAGACTATTTTTGCCAGACCGCACTCCTAATTATTGTCCATGCACTTTACAAAAATACATACATACTAATATATAGCGTTACGAGAGCTATAAGTCTGTCGGGAAAATAACGGCGGGTTGTCGCAGCAAAATGTCTCGCCTCGCCGCTATCGCGCACCAAATCTCCAGTTGCGGTCGCCGTCGCAAAGCGATGACTTCAAGGCGCCGTTATTTTCCCGACAGACTGATAAAAGCCCAAAAACTATTTCGTTATGCCGCGTTACTGATCATTAGATTTTTTCAGATAGTTATGGCAAAATTAAACCGCCTTACTTACAGGGGAAGTACTCCAAGTGCGACGCTCAGATTTTCATGAAACTTGGCACAAATTTAGAATAATTTTTTGTAAGATATATGCGAAAAGTCTAGCTCGCGCTTTGCAGAACCAACCGAGAGTTTTAGATCGAAAGTCGGCCAAAATTTAGGACTTTTTGCCGAATTTCGGCACGAAAAGTTTCATGCCTATTTCTACCGTAAAGGAAAATGTTTCTACAAAAAATCAAATTTTTCCGCATGAAACTGCTAAAGTTATGGCCAAAAAGGTGTTTTCTCTCTGACCGCTCTCCACGTTTAGCGTGCTCTCTCGGCGGCAAAAATCGTTCGATATCTCGGCGGCGCCCGCAAAGCGCGAGCTAAAACTTTCAGGAACTGATATTAAGTCCATGCCCGACGTATGTGCAAAATTTAAAGAAAATCTGAGCGTCGCACTTGGAGTACTGCCCCTGTTAGTATAATAATAGCTTACCCGCAGAAACATTTCTCCAAGCCTTCAGCAACAGTTTACAAAAACAGGCCTGAGCGAATTGTTACAACAAGTCATCAAAAAGCCTCTTTAGAAAAGTAATCATCCTACAACGCCGGTTGACCCGTGAATCAGCTGGCTCTCCCCTT